ACATCGGTTCTTTCATGTGGTCATGACTTTATACATAGGGACATATGAAGGTCCGCCAAATGTAAGACCATTTCTAGATTTCATTCTCCATCTGGAACAGCCACCACCAATCAAGAAAACAGTAACATGTCGCATTATGACTTTTGAGCTGATCGTGCTACACGATTCTCTATCAAACATTCTCCAACTCAACACAGAAGGATCTATGAGATAAGCATGTCAACCCTCATGTTCTGTGTTATAATGTGGATAAACTAACAGCAAAACAAATGAGACGAAACGCAGAAAGGAAATGGAGACAATCAGGACTAGAGATCCATAGACGTATTTTTTTTTATACAGGAGGCCAAATCCCATTACTCCCCATGAGACGATATTGTCTAGGATGAACAATGCGAAGGCTCCCTGGTCTCAACTATCGAAACTTAGAGGAATGATGAACACAATCATTTCACTTCCAAAAAAAGAAAACAATCTTATCCACACGGAAAATTACAATACATTCTTCACAGGCAAGATTTATAAAATCAGGGTTGATCTCAGATCTCTACAAACCTGTGAGGCAAATGATGCACGTGTTGATGAGGTGTTTTCTGAACCTTTCAATGGTGTTCAGCTGGCTGAATTGGAACCAGTGTCTGAGAATCTAGTCCTTTACCTTGTGAGTCAATCAAAGACAAATACGTGTAACCTGGATCCGATTCCAACCAAACGGATAATGCAGTTTTGTGATGTTCTTATTCCTGTCATCGTTTATGTAATGAACTTTTTAGGCTGCCTTTGTAAAGAAAGTGTTAAAACAATCCAATCTCGCCATCTCCTGGCTTCTGACACAGCAGCTGCTCAAGATCATTTCTCCTCTGTCGTTTGGATTACTGTAACACACGACAACATCAGACGCCTATAGATAATATATAATCATGTGTCCCAGTGTCAACTCAGGCGGTGTCTACTAACAAGATTCAATCGTAAAACATTTGGCAGTAAATCGTTTAGATCTGTTATGGCAATGAAATGGAATGAACTTCCAATCTCAGGACTACTGAAACACTTTCAACATTCAAACCCCAAGTCAAGATATATTATAAGCGTCTTTGGCTTTTGTATTTGTGTTTGTATGCGTTTCGAGCATTCTGAAGTGTTTGAGTGCTGTATAAATAAACCAATTATTAGATTTATGATTATGACAATGTCAGTCACTAAACACAATATAACAATTGAATCATCACCTTTCTTTCCCCATGCTGTCGCTGCCATTTGAATATGTTCCCTTTTGCAAGTGTAATCACCTGAATTAACATGGATAGTTCAACTGTACGAATACGTTAAACTTTCTTGACCGTGTAGCTTATTGGTTAAGTTGAACGTGACTGGACATTGTATAAGCAGCTTCGAATTGTAGATGCCATATTGCTCGACACAAAGTGGAAATTCACAATGCAAAAATCGAAAACATCCTCTTGTTGCAGATTCCGGTACATAGTCTGCCATCAATGTGAATCTGTATGCATCATTTCCATATAAGAATTTGTGCCAGATCCTTGCACATGTATGTTTTACGGTTTTGCTACGCGGGTTATTATATGCCTGTAGTCCAGAGACAAGTACACGACTTGAGCAATTATATTAATCATCTCAGTATAACTTGTCAATGTTGATGGGCCGAGTATAAGCAAACATAACTCGGATCAACAAAAGTTACTGTCTTCTTTTTTATTTGTTAATGTGCTGTATATGTGTCAAGACTAAATACACGTAACACACTAAGTATAACACATTATATCAATTCACCAATAACTCAAACAATTTGACACAGTGGCTAAATATCTTATTGACGCTATGGCATCATATAAACACACGGGGCGGCCGGGTAGCCCTGTGGTTACAGCGTTCGCTCGTCACGCCGAAGACCCGGGTTCGATTCCCGACATGGGTACAATGTGTGAAGCCCATTTCTGGTTCCCGCCGTGATATTGCGGGAATATTGCTAAAAGCGGCGTAAAACCATACTCACTCATTATCAACACACATGGTGTTCGGTTCATACGGTCAGACAGATGTGGTGGTGTAAAACCTCCCCACTCCACACAAACCAGCGAGCATTTTTTAATCTGGTCGCCTTGTTGGTTGATAACTTTTCATGTTGGCCGTTATGTGTGTTGTGCCGCCTTGTGATGCGTTGCTTTGTCATCCAAGAATGTTGTCCTGCCGTTCATCACAGCAGTCACGAGTCAAGTCAATCATCCTCTGCAGTCCCGTAAAAGAGATGGCAATAATCAGCCACCAAACTTCGGAAATAAGTAGGTAGGCAAACGAATGCTTTAGTAACCGACATTTCACTACCCTGTGTGTTATCAGATCGTACACCAGTTACCATGCGTCCCTTTGCTGAACTGAATACTCCCCACATTGTCATGTCTGTCGATCTACCAAGGCCCGTTCAAAACGTCATTAATGTGGTTCCGTGTCACCGACTTTGGCTTACAATGTGCACATACAGCCGACTCTCTGGTGTTCAGAACAAGGTTCAATAGCATAAGAAGGTTCACTATAACTGCCGACATGATATTTAAACGACTGAATAGATAAGGGGCCCATTCTGACACCTACATATTGAAAACTATTCAAACATGTTTACATTACCTGATGGCTTGAAAATATTTCACTGCCACTATTGTTGAAATAGCATTGTGTAAATGAGAATGATGCTTGAGTGGCCTCGACGTTCACTCACCATGGTCCGTACAGCAATTACAGTAAATTCGATATTGTTTCTGATATGTTAGGGGCGGTCGGGTAGCCTAGAGGTTAAAGCGTTCGCTCGTCACGCCGAAGACCCGGGTTCGATTCCCGACATGGATACAATGTGTGAAGCCCTTTTTGTAGTGTCCCCCGCCGTGATATTGCTAGAATATTGCTAAAAACGGCGTAAAACCATACTCACTCACTCACTCTGATAGGTTAGTTATAATGTTGTTAAATTGTCCAACATTTTACACGCATGTTAAAATATTTCATCATGTAAAATATTATTCATCATATTTTACGGGAAAATGTTAACATAGCAGTAATTTCCCATTTTGGTTCCAGGAGTTTGAATTTGGCGTTGAAGTTGTTGTGAACTTTAATTACACAGTAAATTATCAATATTACATATTTGGATAGTCTGTATACCGACCAGCTAACGTCTTTAGGTGAATGTGGTGATACCATGGCAGTGTATTTAATGTGGATTATTCAAATTTTACAAACATGACATTATTTAGCGTGAATCAATGTTTATTGTTCATGTGAATCATTTCCCTAGCAAGGGAAATAAGATGCAAACAGGCAATGAACATGTCTCTTTATAACCTAAAGTAAGTAAAATTTGTGAAGTTGGATGCGTAGTTAAATGTGATTTCTTATGGCTGATCTTGCATGTGAACTTCAAAAGAGGTTACAAAGTTGAATGTTCAAATGTAAAAATATATAGGGTATTAAACGAACTGACCATATCATATCCCATTTATCTCTCAAGTGGAATGTTTCACCTGTCCCGATCCTAAGAAAGATTCTTTATCAGGGACATAGACTTGAATTGGGCACGAGTTGTGTAGCCTATTTATTACAAAGGATACTTATCTGCAGCATTAATCGATGTACATGTGTCCTTACGATAAAAGTAAAGTGCGTATGGATTCAACATGCACAACAGAGAGCCGCATCACTTCCGACATGAACACCAGAACATCCCTGTGAGCTAAATACAGAACACTGACTTTTTTGGAAATCAAAGCTAATTGGAAACATTTGTCAATGTCATCATTTTTGTGGTATGTAAATATCTTAACTCGATTAAACAACACTAAGTATGCTGCAATGACTGAACTCAGTTAGTTTGCAGTTGCAGCTACAAAGCCAGGCTACAATTAACTGTAGTACTGATGAGTCAGGCTCATGTCAGGATTGTGTGTTTATAGAGCGCGCTAGTTTGAGAAAGAAACATAACAGGCATATCCGTACAATTGGAAATTGAAGAGATAGTCTTGAGATGTTGAGTTGGGTAGGCTACCAGCCAACCTATTTGACAGGATTTCGTACATGATAAACCATTTATAATTCAGTTCCTCGTCAGATATAGTAAGTTAACTGAAGTTTGCTAACTTTTATAAATAATTTCAATTTCAAAGGGACGCTTTATAGAGTCAATACATTTTCCTATTTGAGATCATTCATAGGATTCATTGCATGTGCTCATCTATTATACCAAAACCACACACTATGATGACCACTATCCAAACTTGGATCGAAATTAGTACCAGAATGTTTGTATATAGTCCCTGCAAGTGTTATAATATATAACAATCTCATATGCTATTAGATAGTATAAGCAACGCACATAATATATTAAATAACAATGGATATTGACATGAAAATGACACTGAATCAGATTGAATTCGTGAATGGTAAACACAATGTTCAGTTCACGCGCCGTGCAATACTGTCCAGTGATGTTATCACATCCAGTGCGTGTTTACTTGTTCCTATAGTCAGGATCTGAAATTGCATCAGAAAAAGTGAAGGTATTAATATAATTGTGTCACATTATTGAGTACAGATTGTGCCAAAAGTCAAAATATAAGAACAGAACAGGGGAGAAAACAAAGCTATGTGTTTGAAACCGTAGATCGCTTTTTGTATACACTTTATTATTCGAGCTTACATTCTTCTGAGACGTATAGATATTATAAGCTGTGGATACCTGAAGGTTGAGAGGTACTGTTCTGGTAAGGAGATGCAATGATGGACTCGTAAGATACAGGAGGCTCTTCGTAGGTGCTTGTCTCTCCTTTTGGCTCGACTGAAAATATGATTCGTAACACATTTCAGAAGAACAAATTCAAATGTTGAAAACTCATCTGAACGCAAAACAACGTTTCATAGCATGCCGATAACCTGGCAGTACTGAGTTTACGACTGACAACTGCAATGTATATAATGTCAAAGTATCAATCTACCGTTTGTATTCTCATAAATCTTCAACTGTGTGTAATGTTGGTTTTCAGACGCCTCTTTATCCATGCTTGAGTTCTGAGCTGGACTGTTGACATGATCTATAACAAATCAGTACGAACATATAATAACGGTATCAGCGCGGAGTAGGCTCAGGCATATTCGTGACCCAAACAATCTATCTGACCGGCAATGCTTACTTCAACCTACCCAAAGATGAATATCCTATGTTTTCCATTTCTTCAATTTCAGGATTTCTGGTGCTACAACAGTAAGTAAGATCGGTTTATGACAATTAATAATGGAAAGGCGCACCTTCATATCATGTTTTATTACTCTCTAATTTTAAAGGACATTTACCTTACATCAAAGGAAATTATTGTTAAAACGTTTTAGTCATACATCATGTCTACCTTTTTTGTGAAGTGGTTCCTGAAAAATAGAGACTTCATATATAGTACACTGTAATACACACATCACAAATCAAAACGGGAAGAGTGAATGACTTCATCACACAAACATGAGTTAACATGTTTTTGTTATTAATTCAATGTACATTGCTTAATATTTCTTAATATGACTTAACAAAACAACATACTGCACATAAGCAGTTACTGGTCTACAACGGTATATCCTTATTAATTATTTATATTCATACCCAAAGTGGATGTGCTCATTCTGTCACTCAGTCAGGAATGATTTAGATCTGTTTCTAACTTTACAATTTTACACATATCATTCATGTTTATCGACTGACGTCACTTTGAAAGGAAACTTCCCGTCTGTAAATATCCCCACACCACTTCTTATTCCATCTGTAATACTGTTAAATGATAAAAATGAGATTTGACAATATACCTGACAAGACGTTTCCAAACCTGAACCCCTTCCTATAGAAGATCGTCATAACTATCCCTCCAATTAGCAGGGTGAGAAAGAGGGTTCCTATTGTGGTTCCTGCTATTACACCTGCCATGTTATATTCGGCATTGAGTGGTTGTGGGTTTGTTGGACCTGCAATATATAATAAGTACCACATGAAATACGTATTGATTTCATATTTACTGAAGACAGAGTGCTTGATATAGGTATCATACATCATACATTGATTCTAAAATGCCATCGATTCCAAAGACAACACAACTTATTTCCATTCCCATGCCCACATACAATGACAGTAATGGATCTCTGCAGAGGTCTATTGTTATTAACTGCAACATTTAGCTATTGTACAACACTGAGACAGGAAAGGTTGCGGTAAAAGAGCTTGTACATATTTTTACTTTATCCTCAGCAAGCTACAGGACAGGAGATCGCACACCTGAAGATATACAACCATCAATCTACCGTCACTTTTTGGTGGTTAATTCGTGTTACATCATTTTTACAAATTGTTAGTCAATGAGTGATATACAGATGTGATGAACATTATTTTGGGGGGATTCTTGGCAATGCTGTCAATTTGTGGCATGTTCAGGGATCCCTGATTTCAGACATGCTACACACTCCATACATACGTTAATGAAGGGGAATTAACCATTGCACCTATCGCTTCCTCAAGAAACAGTAAAAGATACTCACAACTGACATTGAAGGTCCTAACAACAGAGAGGTTGTATATGTATCCTCCATACCGCCACGACCCCAGACACTGACACTGCTGACCGTTCTGACTCCTGCTAACAGTGAAGGAGAGAGTAGATGTCCTGGTCTGACCACTGTCACTGACCGATGCTACTCCGGCGCCCGGACAGGACCACATGATAGTAGCTAGAGGATTTCCTCCTGTTACCGAGCAGCTGATAGTCTCCGGGTCTCCTTCAAACATCACAGTCTCAAACTGTGTGATGGAAGGAGGGTCAGATGGGGGGTCTTAAACAGGAACAATGAAGACGGTTACTATAAGTGAGTGATTTGGGTTTAACGCCGCTTTTAACAGTAGTCCAGTCATATCACTGGCGTGTCAGCTTAATGAAGGAGGGAAGCCCTAATTGATGCAGGCCTAAAACGTTTACCAGGTAAAACTCATGAGCACGGGTATGATGCTGACAAACCCAAAAACATAATCGGGGTGAACCGGGATTCGAACCAACACCCATAGGTTTCTGGCGTACCCAAAGGATGCAACTCCAAAGAGCGAATCGTGACGCCTTAGACGACTGAGCCCCCCGTGCCCTGGTTACTATAAATGACATAAGTAAGAGATGTAATTGTGAAGACCTTCCTCGTTTGTTATCATGCAGTGAACAAAGTCACAATATGATGTCCAGCCGTTGCAGGGAGGAAGAGTTGTGCATAAAGGTTCTGTTTTGTAACTTCTAAAGAAACTGATAATGTCCTGAATGCTCTGAATAAAAGGGAAACATCTTTGAACACTCACACTTGACATCCAGGGACACAGAACCAGTCTGTGTTGCCGATGTTCTGGTGTTTCTGACCTGGCATCTCACAGCTGTCTTGTCTTTATAAGGCTTGAAGGTGAGGGTTTGGGACCACCATGTAGACGACCTTGACACAGACCCTGTGTTGCCACCTACAGGTGTTCCATCACTGTAGTCCCAGATGAAGGTCAGGTTGGGATAGGCGGTGGTAGTACAGGTTAAGGTCAGGTTTCTGTTCTCGAAAACTACACTTTTGTCGGGCATTGTGACGTCAACCTGTTCTGGTCCAACTGGAAAACGGAATAATGATATATAACTACTGTGTTGCCTGCCTGAATACAGCGTTGCTCTGATAGACATATTTCAGCTCTCACGAAAGCTATAGCATTGCTATATCAGACCTTATTATGCCTCAAAGTGAGATTGCCCCAATCAGAGAGTAGAACTACTGAACCCAAATGAGCCCGTATACCGTAAGTAAAAATCCAAGATGGTTGTTACTGACCTAATATGAGACCATATGCCGTCAGTAACAGCCATTTTGAATTTTCCAACACCCACCTCACATATTTCACATGGTAATTCTGGTACAGAAATTCGTTATTCGATACTGTTTTGTTTTTTAATATCACTAATTGTGATGAGAACAGACATTATTTATGAAAGAATCCACGTTCGTGACTTTATTTATAAAAAATAGAGAGAAAAAGCTTACAACGGAGGTCATTGAGTTACAAATAGCAACGTCATAGAACATACTATAGGATGACGTCACAAACAAGAAACGTGACGCCAATCACGTCACATAGCAATAGAATAGATAGCATCCTGTCGTTACGGGAAAGCGGACTGCTATCAAGTTACAGTGGCCCGCAGATTTATGTTTACATGTTGGGCATTGTTATGAAAATTTTATCCATTTTAGCTCTTGTACTTAAACCATTCACATTTAGTGCATTATATATTCCATTGTTAACGTTTATATTTACATTAGAGCATTTTATCGGAAAGATATGTACTGGTCCTGCCGTTTATACCGGTTCTAAGTGTCAAGTTTTCATTTTGACATGACATGTGCGACAAAGATACCAAATAGTGTAAACTTTTCAGCATAATAAATTCGTTATGGTGTCTTTAGTTGCCGTATACAGTGTCATCTTAGGCAACTAAAGACACTATAACGAATAGTATCTGACCACTAATACATACATGTATCTACGACATTAAACATCCAGTGTGGCTGCGACACAAGTCTCCAGTATGGCTCTGTAAGACGATTTCTACTTTTCAAAGCCTCTCGTCTAGTTCTACTCTCACAAAGCTCTATAATTGCTCTGGTAGACTGCGTCTGATCCCCTGATAGATACATATATCTGCTTACACCTTTAGTGTAGTTCTGTTAGACTGGGACTACTTACACCAAACCTAATAGATACATGTTAATCTACACCAAACCTCCAGTGTGTCTATGTTCGACTATGTCTACTTACACCAACCCTCCAGTGTTGCTCTGTTAGACTGTGGGGATGTCTGACCGTTGATGTTTTCAGCCTGACAGTGAATGCTCCTCCCCTGGTCAGTCTTACTGACCGTGAATGTGACGGAGCTTGTGGTCTTCACCAGGACACCAGATGTCGTCTCTGTGCTGACTGTAGGAGTGGTTCCTGATGGCAAGGTCACCCAGGTCACAGCAGAAGTCGGGAAGCTGGCTGAAGTCACACAGGTCAAGGTCAGCGGTTGACCCACTGCTTGTCCTATCTTCTCATAATCAGAGTTGATGTTTGTCAGTGTCACAGACGTTACTGGGACTGTAAGACGTGAAAACATTGGCACTTGATATCAAATAGCAGTCCTTTACATATCTAAACATGAACTATTTCAAGGCCATATCATAATTTATATCTGAATTAATTTGGTAAACACGTAATAATATCCTCATGCTTTCATGAAACATATAGGAAATAAGACCTCATGTGCGGGTAACAAATCGACACGTTTCCGTCTTAGCAGATAGTAACAACATTGCATTAATTGAAAGATGGATTTGAAGGAATGTGAAACTGCAGCCTGTTTTGTTTGTTTTTTTAAGAATATCTGCTAATGATAAGAGAAACTACTTCATGAATATATTGTTGACAAACTGTGACAGCAACTGGACTATAAACACATTTATTTGGCATGCATATGATGGGTTTTTTTCCATGACATGTTGGAATCCTGCATTTTGATTGGTCAGCCAGGTGTGTGGAATCTACATGCTTTTGCTGATGAGTGAAAATATTTCTCAGGAAGCAGTTCTTTCACAAAACCGACGAGTAGGAAATGTATATTTAGCACTAGTAGATTACGGACGGTGAGGTCGTGTTTGCCCGTTCACAATATTTTGGCACACGTGTCAGTAGAACAATATAAACTCATAAAAGTGGTGTATTTATTTAGAACTAATTGCTACAAGGGTTGCCTCCCTCAGTTTCCCCAAATGAAACTGTATGGAGAATGAATACAGGAAATCTGCTAGAGGGTTGCTCTTTCCTATATTGGAGAGAGTTAAATACAGGAAGGTATGGTTTGAATTACAAAAGCAGGAATACCCACAATGAACTCTATCAATATGGTGACAACTTCCATTCAACACAACTAAAACATTATACTTGACCAATGCCACGTCACTCATCATTTTACCTTTACATATTTATTACGAAAAAAATAACTGTAATGGTCGCGTATCATCATTGGCAGAATACGTCTACACTTAAAATATAACAGGTTAATCTCCTACTTCTATATTGTTATTTGTATTAAAATCTACTGTTTAATATATTGTGAATGCTAATACCGACACAACTATGTGTGTCTCAAATCAACGGACACTAACAAACATTGAACTCCACCCAAGTATGCGTATCATTACCCAATCATTACCCATTGACATGGTCAACGTTTCCCTTGTTCAGGCATAAAAGTAAAATAGATCCCGTTTCGTAACTTCTCATTTCTGGCATCTATGTTTTATTTAAAACGCACTGGATGAGATGGATTCACTGCGACATACACATATAATAATTTTGAAAAGTATTGTCAACTTCCAAGAATTTTCCAAGAACTCTCTTTGCTTTCGACTACGTGAAACTTCTTTTTCCTGCTGCTACAATACGGGCCTTGAGTCAACAACAGGTAGACTTGGAGTTGATTTGCACTCACCAGGAAACTGTATTGTATTTGAAGTGACAGACTTTGTGTACGTGGGCGGGTCAAAGGAGTCATGTTCCACACTGACAGTGAGAGACACCTGTCTGTTGTAGAGACTGACTGTGTTTCCTGGCAGAGACAGAGTGTTGGTTGTCTGGACCTGGCCTGATGGACATGATCCCTGGGAGGAAGATGTACTGCTGGGAAGGACGCCACTCACACCCTGTAAACACAAAACAGTAGTAAGTGAGACTGGCTGTGTTCCTGGTAGTGACAGAGAGTTGGTTGTCTGGACCTGGCCTGATGGACATGATCCCTGGGAGGAAGATGTACTGCTGGGAAGGACGCCACTCACACCCTGTAAACACAAAACAGTAGTAAGTGAGATTGGCTGTGTTCCTGGTAGTGACAGAGAGTTGGTTGTCTGGACCTGGCCTGATGGACATGATCCCTGGGAGGAAGATGTACTGCTGGGAAGGACGCCACTCACACCCTGTAAACACAAAACAGTAGTAAGTGAGACTGGCTGTGTTCCTGGTAGTGACAGAGAGTTGGTTGTCTGGACCTGGCCTGATGGACATGATCCCTGGGAGGAAGATGTACTGCTGGGAAGGACGCCACTCACACCCTGTAAACACAAAACAGTAGTAAGTGAGACTGGCTGTGTTCCTGGTAGTGACAGAGAGTTGGTTGTCTGGACCTGGCCTGATGGACATGATACCTGGGAGGAAGATGTACTGCTGGGAAGGACGCCACTCACACCCTGTAAACACAAAACAGTAGTAAGTGAGACTGGCGGTGTTCCTGGCAGAGACAGTAATAACGCCACACAAACACAAAACAGTAGTTGGAGAGACACTGTCTGATGTTTCAGTTTAGTGAAATAATGAGCAATACTTATCCTGAGTACTACAGGTAGAGAAGCTCGTCTTTATTCAGTGATAAGACATGATATCAAATAATTGGATAGAAAGGGTTTGTTATTAAAAAAAAAATTTCCTCAGAACATGCTTTGGAATATTTCATACCTTTGTCGATTTCGGTCAAATTCCAGAACTAGTTCTTTTCTTACGACATAATGATAGTGGATAGAGAGTGTCACATAATCCTATTCGCCTGATGTTGTGATCTGACTGTGGGAATAATGGTAAATGCATAATAAAACAGTAATTGAATTCATCTCTGAGTGTAAATAAGGTAAGAGTACTGTTTTCTCTCTTGCAGAAATAGGCTTGAGCTTAGTGTCCAGTATTTACATTTTACATGGGAATTGCGCTTGGTGTATGATTAACAGTTCATGGTTTACATAACTGATAGTGTAGTATTGTGCAGTATTAATATTAATATAGTATACTGAACAGCATTGAAAACGCACCACCGTGAAATTGGATGTATTTTTATCCGGGCTTAAGACATATGAAAATATATAAGTGAATGAGTAATATACGACGTTCTGGACAAAGCATGAAGAACAACAGCTCGTCAAAACACATTCCTAATTTGTTTGTGAGCGACATCTCAAAAACGCAAAAAATTGCGTGCGCGTCATAGAAAACGTGTTTTGTTTCACGGGAAGCATGCAGAATAGGGCTATAAAAGACAGACTTTTAAAAGCCACATCACTTGTTGCTGCAGACGTTTGGGCATGGTCTGGACATTTCAGTCTCAAATGAGCAATAGATTCAGGCTTGTTGTAAGATGGGCAGACCTTGTCATAATGCATTGTCTAGAGCTTGCTCCGCCAGTGTGTATGCTTTTTCATTTCCATGAATATATATGCGAGACGGGACCAAACACACCTTCGGCTGTTTGCCATGGTCCGATGATTTTGTATATTCATATATAATATTATTGACTGTATTTGGTCTTGAGTTTGAGTTTCTGCTGCTAGTCGTGCACTTAGCAAGTTTTGAATGCGTAATGATTTTCCTCCTTATTAGTATTAAATAGTGACTGACCGTTAGGCAGGTGGACTGAATGTACTTGGGGTTTGGTAATGAATATGGCTCCCCTAAATAGCTGTGTTGTTGATTGGATTCTTAGATCCATCAGTGTTTATATGGGCCCAACTGTCTCAGGTATTTCGGATTTTAGTGATAGCTACTGATCGTAGTTGGGTTGGTTTTTCTTTTTCTGTGACTTCTGATGTTAAAGCAGTGGTAACATTTGGCTCGTTTACAGTCCAGGGTGTGTATAGCCCTTTGTTATGACTTTTTGATGGCTGAATGTCATCCCAATTGTACCCCTTAACCCAGGCACAGATGTGCCTTCGAGATGGCTTCAATGAAGGATTTTCCAAACTTGGGCTTCATCTCTTGTGTTTTTGTCTCGCCATATTTTTTTTGCAAGGAAGGTTACGAATATTAGGGATGGCTGCTGATCGTAGTAGGGTTTTTCTTTTTCAGTGACTTTTGATATTTAAACAGGGTTTGATGATCATGTGCTTCTAATAAAGTACCTGTTGGTGCACCTGTAGTAGGGCTTATAGATATTATTATGGCTTTGGATCTGATTAGTGATTTGTTGAGGCACAGCTGTGGATCCCCAGAGGTACCTCGGACAAGATGTGCCTGAAGTTGCCCGTAAATATCATCAGGTGAAAGTAGTCGCTGCAGGGGATTGCTTAGTGGAGAACATGTATCACAAGTGAAAAAAATGATGCCTTAATTTGAAAGAAACATATTCTATCAGTTATTACATAGCCGAGGAGGAGGATGAGAGGCGAGGAGTAGTGTGGGAGGTGAGGAGAGGGTGAAAAGTGGTGATAAGGGCGGTAGAGTTGAGGAGTGACGAGAGGTGAGGATGGGTGAGGCGCGAGGAGATGGGTGAGAGATGAGGAATGAGTTGTCGAGGATGGTTTTACGCCACTCATAGCAATATTCCAGCAATATCATGGTGTGGGACACCAGAAATGGGCTTCACATTTGTACCAATTTCGGGATTCGAACCCGGGTCTTCTGCGTAACGAGGAAAAGCTTTAACTAACCCTGAGTGGTGAGAAGAGGAGGTGAAAGGTTCGGAGGAGGAGTACAGAGCCAAAGTGTAAGTTTTAACACAGGGGTCAATATACAGAGTTGAGGAAATGGAGGAGGTTGGTGAAGTAGAGGAGGGTGAGATATGTAAAACAAATTGTATTTATGTATATTAGGAGAAAAGCTTTTTAGTCAGTCATGAGGTACAGGTGGTGGGGCCCATGGGTAATGTCTGGATGAGCTAAAATGAAACAATCATGTTAATGAAACCAAACACATAAGATGATCTAATACATCAAGATGAGCATACAGTTCCCACCTGTTGGTATCTCCATGTGATGACGGCGGCAGGGGTAGCACCCGGGGTGGTCACCTTGACGGAGATAGTGTTCTGTGGGGTCACAGAGGACGGGAGAGAAGTCAGTTGTGGAGAGAATGTCACAGAGCTCCAGTCCAGAAGAGCTGGTAAGAAGGAATGATACCATTAGGATTCTGATGGAGATCTTTGAACCTCTTGAAAGTTCACACAACACAGCCAATCAAGAATAGATATCAACACAGAACCGCACTGTATGATCGCTCTGAATACTTCACCATCTGACTAGAACTTTCAAACTGATATTATCTCTAAAAAAATGTATATATTAGTGAGATTGTGTACACTTGTTGTATTTCCCCAGACTAGTAGAGCTGATCATGAACGTGGGAGTGAGTTTATTTTAAGTTAACAGAACAGGCTGACAGAGCTTGCATGCTTCATCACAGCTGATGTGTGAAAACACTTGAACATATACTCCTCACAAAATGTTAAGCAACAAATCTATAATGTGTCAGTCAATGGTCAAATATTACAATACCTAAAAACTGACTAAAGCAATAAAAAGAAAGAGCACAAACACACATTGTCCTCAAAGGAACTGAAAAGCGTTTATGCCTAACAGGTTTACAAATGATCATAAACAGTATCATGAAAACAGTCGTGCAAAATGTGCTGCAGTTAAAGATGAAAATCTTTAAGTTGCAGTTTAAGTCATTTTGAAACGATGATCCAATGTTCAGTAACGTGTATGTCCACCATTGGCTTGAATGCAAGCTTCTACACGTCTTGGCATTGACCAGATAAGCTTATCAAGTGTCTGTTGTGGAATGTTCTGCCATTCTCTCCTTAAGGCCTGTTCAAGTTTATCCAGATTCTGAGGACGAACATGAAGACCATAAACACGCCTTCCAAGAATGTCCCATGCATGTTCAATGGGATTAAGATCCGGAGACCTTGCAGGCCAGGCCATATGCGTGATGTTGTTGGTCTGAAGAAGATCAGTGGCAACTCTTGCTCGATGTTGACAAGCATTATCATCCATAAAGATGAAGTTAGGACCTGCTTGTTGTGCCAGGGGAATGATCACAAGTGTGACAATCTCGTCCCAGTACCGTACTCCAGTCATGGTACCACGTCTGATGACCACAAGATCAGTTCTGTCTCCAACCCTGATGCCAGCCCAGATCATCAAACTTCCACCTCCGTACTGGTCGTGTTCAGCAACTGTACAGTTGGCGTATCGTTCATTACGGTTTCTCCACACACGTGCCCTACCATCGTTGAAGTCAAGGCAGAATCCTTACTCGTCTGTGAAGAGAACGTTACGCCAGCGATTGACCCTCCAGTTACGGCGTTGATTACATGTTGTCGAAGGTGTGCAGGCATTGGGATACGTCGTACTGGTCGTCTGGACCTCACATCCTGAGCGTGAAGTCTGTTTCTTACTGTCTGTGTTGAGACTCTGTTTCCTGCAACTCTCTGAAGGTCATTCTGGAGAGATCTGGCCGTAGTAAACCTGTTTCTCCGGGCTAAGGTGGCTAAATACCGGTCCTCACAAGGAGTTGTCACCCTTGGACGACCTGTGCATGGTCTCTCTGTCATCAGTCACGTTTGATGGTATCGAGTTATCGCTCTTGGGATGACACTGCGGTGAACATTAAAATGATTGGCAACATCAGTTCGGGTGAGACCCCCTGTACCATTCCAACAATCTGAGCAGCCTCAGTTGGCTTTAAGTGAGGCCTAGCCATGTCTAATGTGTTAATGTCGACAAATTGACCTTGCTGGCAGTTTTTAAGCAATCAGGGTGCATGAGTGAAGTGTGTAAAACATGCATGTCGTGCATTTTGCGTGTGTGTTTTGAGGGTGGTTGTGTTCAGGCGATGTTATCAGTGTTATCAGGAACATCTACATGGAAAGGGCTTTAAGTCGAGTATTCGTAGGTAATTCTCCTGCCAGAATTTGTTCTCAATGGATGGCATTCAACACTGATGAGAATGTTGCACGGAAAATAATACTTGAACTTTTTGTGAGGAGTATATACTGTCTTCAACCGAATCAAATTAATTGACAGAGATTCATCAACAAATGCTTACGATTGAGTTGAATTCATACAATGGACTCTTCTGTCAGTAGATATTTCTGATGAGTATAAAAGGGATTGTGTCGCTTTATTAATATGTATTAACCAACTTTAGTGAGTGAGTATGGTTGTACGCCGTTTTAGCAATATTCAAGCCATAACACGGCGGGATTCACCAGAAATGGGATTTGTACACACCTGTGGATGAAAAACTCATTTGAGATAACTGTTAAACATGTGTGTGAGATCGGTTTCCTTGCCTGTGATTTGCTACTCCACGGTGATGAGCTGTGGTCAGCTTATGACGGACTACTTTCTTGATCGTAAGTCATTGATAAGTCGCATGTGCTTAAGTTGAATGTTCACCTCCGTTTGTGTTGAACATTTTTTAGAGTCTAAATCCCCTCAATGCCACATCGATCCTTATTACCCACGTGTTGAAGATACAGGTGGTAAGATACTAAATCCGTTCGTCACACGTGTGTCGTACAATTTGACTTTGTTTTATTCGTTTTGATTGGATAACCGTGACCTCTTTCACAGAGGGACTACTTTTTTTCCACGAGACGTCATTAATTTTGCAACTACAAGACAGAAATGAAGCAATCTCATGAGCGCAGGTTATACATAGAGCTTCAACAGACATTGTATAATCGAGCTTTATCCATTTACAATGTACCACTACCGAGATCGAGGGTCCCCATGAGCGTGACGCACCCGACCACTTTCCCAACTTTCAATTAGACTTAACGTAAATGGATGAGCATGGTGACTTGAAGACAGTTTAAACTAGCTGTACATATATCTACATATATCAGTGTCCCCTTTGCAGCGTAGTTTTTGGGACTGTTTCGGGAGTTTGTTCACGACTGCACTACCAGATCACTCAAACTGAACATTTCCGATACAAATCATTCGAAAACTCCGTGGAAGTGTGCCTGACTCCTGATAATGTGGCCCAAAATATCCCAAATGTGATAAACGCTGTGAGAAGATCACTGTTGTCTTTTCTTGTTACGGTGGTGTCCTTGCCCTTCGTTTGAAGCTGTCCATGACATTGAAAGCAGACCTGAGTTTGTTGATTTTCATGTCTTCAGTATAGGGTGGTTCAGTTAACAAAATGCCTTTGGCGAACACTCTAATTTTCCTCTTCCAAAATGGTACGGACGTGATATTAATTCAGCTGATAGATAAAGGAAACCGAACCATTTTGATTGCACAGCACGGATACGGGCAGTGCGAGTGACCGACTGTTTGTCCAAAGCGTACGTGGCGCTTACGTGAAATTATTCCAAAAGGATCTTGAGCGTTGGCGATGTTGTGTTTCCAAACACAACTGCAGGCGCGTGTTGTTAAGGCGTATGCATAGAAATGTAAACAATATATCACTATTCATGCGCAACCAGATTTTGCAAACGGTTTCAGTTTGGTCTGTCAACGAACGTAAGTTGTTATGTAATTACACTTTAATATATATTTAACGTGGGTAATATAAAATACCACATTCATTCTCGTTAGATACCATTTTTACGTAACTCGTAAACTTTCACTCGGTCAGATACCATAGAAAGTCCACTAATTTCGTAAAAATGGTATCTAAAGAGAGTAGTATTTTTGGCCCATCTTTAACCCTCACTTGGAAGCCGAATATTCAAAATACACTGTGCACACTGACATACTTCACATTTTTTTAATTCGGTGGGACATTCACTCTTCTGTGATATCATTCACTGTAATTCTAGGCAAATCAAAATGACTGAAATAAAAGTTTGGTACATCCCTTCATTTTGAAACATTACTAAGTCACCATTCACAGCCTTATTAACTCTGTTTCTAGAAATCTACATATTGGACGTTTACTCGAAGAATTGAAGTTAAAAAAATAGCATATTAGTGAAAATAGGAATCTGTATTTCATCTAATCACTGATGATAATTTTGAAACGTCGCCTAGAATCTGTTGGAATATTTTGTCCGATTGTTTTGGAAAATACGCAAACACATACACCGAAGTGTATTGGATACTGTCTACAAAATCAGGTTTCAGGTGCAGATAATGAGAAGCCTATTAGATCACATATGTTTCAAACTCATCTGCGATACAGGCATCCCTTAAATCCTCATACACATTAGAATCAAATGACAAATGGTCGTTGTCACCAATAAAAATCATCTGGATGAAATCAATCGAAATAAATTAGGTGAAGAAACGAACACTGTGCTAAAAAAAAAACTGTACTTATTGAAATGTAAACAAGGTAAAATTCAGATTGTACACTATGTAGCATTTTCTCGATGTTTTTAGCTATCCATTCGTCTAATTGTTGCATATTCGGCTTACGCATATCACGAATTATGGAATTAAAAACATACACATGACTACGTCAAGTAGATTGAATAGAAATAAAAAAGTTTTCTGTTCTGCGAGTGACGACATGACTGACGGAAAGTCATGCACAACGACAACGGTAGCTATCTGTATTTCTGACAAATTCTCTTGATTACATTGGAAAACATTAAATACATAACAGTACGCATATTGTCAGAATGTTTCTGATTCCTTACATGACGAAGTTATGTGTATACGATCTCTCAATCAATGAAAATCCTACTCTGGAAATCCCGTGTACTGTTGCGAGTGAAGACGTCATTTTGCAAAAGTCGGTCAGCGGTAGTGATGTCAAACGGAAGTAAACATTGTTGTACATATCTGGTCATTTCTTTGAGGTAAAAACTTTTAACTTGGCATCCAGCGGGTTCTTTGATTTTATCTAGTTTGCACTATCACCTTCATAATCCACAGATATGGCTGAAACCTTTTTGTGTCGGGTAACATTATTTATGCAAAGTAAGCAGTGCATCGGATGACGTCACTACAACGCGTTGTTTGAAAGCGTATCTAACTCGCTTTCGCTTGTTTTGAAAAAATCTCAATTTCACACATTGTACCCATGTCGTGGATCGCCCTAAACCAACTGTAGCTCTCCTTTTCGTAATGCCGTGTTGTCTGCTCTCCAATTCTATATTGTTACAAAATGATCCCTCATGCATTGTTTGATTGTTTCCTGTAATCAATACGTGATTCAAACACAAATAACGAACCTGCAAACTGTGACAGTGTGATGGTATCAGACGATGTGGCACCATCAGTACAACTCCATGTCCCGCTGTCTCTGACGGAATCTGGTGATGCGATGTCTAGAGTCAGGATCCTGGATGTACTGTCCAGACTCACGTTGTATCCAGAGACAGATGTCCCACAGCTGCCTGATGATAAGCAGCCGCCCTGGATAGAAGTATCCTTATAGAAACGAGTAGCTGAAGTGATAGCCGCAACTCCTGTACAGGTGATGCTGAAACTGACACCCTCCACAGGAACACGTCTGTTGGTAGCAAGAACTGGAGCAGAATCTGAAACGATATAACACACATGCAATGTATCTGCATTAGTTATGATTTCACATGCTTTCCCTCTTAAAATAAATTTGTGAATCTTCACTCTCTTCAATTGTTTTGAGGTTATGGATTTATTCTTATTCTTAGTTTCATATTCTAACAGATTCTTGTTCTGGTTGAAGGGTGCCGTTACCACGGAATACCAAGGTAGCGGTGTCGGCTTGATTGACTGCAAAATAATGCAGAAACGTCTATGAATATACTAATATTTAGTCGCAAATATGAAAATAAACGGTCACTTTAATATTGTCTAACTTCTCGTTTAATGAAGTTTTGTATTTAATTGCATAAATACCGTTTTATATCCTTTACGGTCCCCCGCTCACAGCACAGTCTCTTTCACATAGCGATACCAACAACAACAAAAAAGTAACTTCCCTTTACAACTTATATGAAGACCGCTTAATATAAATATAAAATTAACCAAAACAATTGATCAGAATCCAACATAGATACTTATTCTGAAGGGTGGCATACAATGTATAGATGTGTAGTATCATATTGATTACTAAATAAATCCCTATTAGATGCTATATTTCATACAACTAATGTTTTCAAAAACGCATGTTACACACGACACTTTTTGAATACACCACTAGTAATAAAAACGGCATATTACAGGGAAGAATGTAGACATATTTTTGTTTAACAGTATCGCTATTCAACATTGAAAATATGAAAGACATTGCTCGTATAAGGGTACAATAAGAATTCAAAATGCGAACTAGATGATTCGACCACAGAGTGTTCTCTCAAGGAGAAAACTACACTAAATTGCTCAGCATTCAGCGAAGCTTGCATCAATGAGGGAGTCACTCTGCTTGCCAATTCGATAGTGGGGCGTGTTCAAACATGCGAAGCAAGAGGCACTTAAACTTAATTTGGTTTAGAGGATATCTACTTCGTCTAAAATTAACTATAAACTATTGTGACAATTCAAAATTAAGTTTCCAGACATATGATTCATCTGTTATGAAATCCATTGTATTTGCCATGCCACTTCACCATCTGTTAATTTCATCTGTTCATACGAAAGATTCACAACACACATGATGTAATCGGCTGACACGAGAACGACATCTTGACTGTCCACTTGGTCCGACCAGGGCTACTGTTATTTGCAACAGGAGTGATTGAGTGAGCTGTGTTTAACCCCGTTTTTAACAGTATTCCAGTTATATCACGGCGTGTCAGCTTAATGTGGGAGGAAAGCCCGAAGTGATGCAGGTCTCAGACATTTACTACTTCGGTGAAACCAACGAGCACAGGTATGGTGCTGATAAACCTAGAAATGTTATCGGGGCGAACCGGGATTTGAACCCACAATCATAGGTTTCTGGCGGACCCATGGGACGCAACTCTGCACAGCGAATCGCGGCGCCTTAGACGACTGGGCCACCCATGCACAATTTGCAACACGAAGTCAAAACAGTACATACCCGTGAAAGTAGAAAATCATTGTTGTTTAATTCAGTATAATGGTGTAAATGCACATATATTCATGTTTATAGTCATGTATATGACAACATGGAAAAACATGTCTTTTTAACACAGGATCCATTTGTATACTCTTACACCACCAGTTTGCATTTAATGCTTAATGGAATCTGATTTTTTGGAAAATCGAAACTGGTTGTTCTCTAATACTGATGTTTCAGATTTACTATTTGGAAAGGCTCCCTATAGGAACATGGATGAAGACAGTTCTGGGAACAAACATATCGGAAAACATACATGTCTTGGTTTATCATACATGCATAGTATTCATCAGCCATCTTGTCTTCAGAATATGCTCGTAGATATGTGTGTATAAGATGTAATTCGAACTTGACATTACCAAGACAAGCGTACCGTGCGTTACTCAGTGACAGCTCTGTTGGGCATAACATTGCAGAAGGTCTTGAGAATAGAGATGATGCCAAACAACACCCGTCAATCATTGTATGCAGATGTACCTTGATAATATGTCTGGCTTTATTAAACGTTGATGCTTCAAGAAAACGACACCCCTTTCTTGCATGCACACCAGGGTTACTTTGCATATTAAGACGGGGCTTGCGATAGACTCATTAGAACAGAGCTCCATCCATTTAGCACTGCGTATGTAGAGGTGTGGGGCAGGCGACGTCTTGTCTTAATGTTGGCAATTTGTCTGTAGAATTTAAACTTTAGCTGTGAATAAGTGTATTTGTGTTGGTGATCTTTCTACTGGTCTGCTGTTAATAGTGATGCTTGGTTCATACTCTTAAATAACATTAAACTTTATGCTTAGTTTTAAAGGCGGCTTGCAGTTACTCACAAACTCTAAAACTGTACTCCAACTAAAGCAGAGGTTTTATCACATAGAACTTACTCGGATATAACTGAACAACTTCTGTTTATCACAAATTACCAGGTGTGCTGAGGGCATATGTTAAATCTGGAAGATGTATCACCAGAGTCCTTAAGAACATGACAAAAGAAATAATGACTAAAGGCAGACAACATGTGATTCGTATATTGACCATGAACATACTAAGATAATAAGTTTTGTTAAAACTGGGATATCCCTTACGAACGTAACGTCACTTCGCAGGCTTCAAAAGCAAGTTGAACGAATGTGTGGCATTTGTGACTAAAAATGGTGACCTCATATATAGTTACAGCTCTTCAAAGTGTCAGGACAATGTGACAAAATGAAGGCAAATGCCATCTGAAGTTCACTGAGGGAATAGTATGTAAAATGATAGACTTGATCATAGATAATATTCATGTGACAATGTTTGGATTGGACAGTTAGGAAAATTGTAGGCATCCCCATGGGCAACAATCGAGAATGTCCTCAGAGCGGACGGTCGAGCGTTCGATTCCCAGCCGCGCCAAAGGGTAAAACTTGTTGTTACCATGTCTGCCACTCATCATAAACAGGATAAAACAAGGAATGGTCGGCTCGGAAAATACCGTCACTTAGTGGGATATCCATTTGAAATGTTGCATGTCATCTATGTGCGTGGCACTACAAACCCGGCGCTAAATAAGTGCAATAACTTTGAACGACGTTAAACCCCATTTCACACGTAAAGCCACCATCTTGCAACCGACCATTGAGAGTATGAATATCAAATGTGGAGTAAAGTAGTTGTTATTTGATAAATTATTCCTTGGCATTCTGGAAATATTAAACACATCAGGATAGTCCGACTTAAGTTAAGAATCATATATTGCTACGCACCTTGGTTTTTTTTAAATAAATAAAAAATAGAATAACAATATCACAAAGTTAAGGAGCCTTATTTCCTACAATGTGATTGTACCGGGGTTGTTATCATTAGCTTGATTGTGTAAAGAAAACACACTATTGTTTAGCACATGTCATTATCGAAAACAAAGAAATAATTACATGTAGGTACACACCTTAATATTACTCATACTATATTCACCCATAGTGATATTATGTCATATTCCATCAACATTCATAAAGGAATGTAAAAACATTTAATTATGACAATTTCAGAAAAATACCAGTATCTGATTTGTTTCTGAATATAATACACCATTCACCAAGGAATCAGAGTACACCCGTACATGTACGACTGTTCATGAAGCTGTTCACACTTTTCCTTTTACTATGTACTTTGTTCAGGACATCATGAGGCCACAATCTCCTCCTGATACCCAGCGTTTTGTTACTTCCATTCACTTTATCTTACGTTTCCTGTCCTTATAGCAAAGTGATAATCTAATATAAGGGAATGATGTATGACATTATGTTATGTCAGGTATACATTTAATTTCACGACGATAGTTATTACAGTTACTACACTTTTTGTGATTTCACTTGGCTTTCATTCTTCTTCTAATTATGATATCTGGTCTGTGCCTCACTCGTGGAGTAAATCATGTTTCACAGAAGTAGTAAACTTAAACATCCGACTTATCTGCTTCGTGTATTAGCTGAATGACAAGTTATCTATACATGACTCTACCATAGATACATATACCATGACTATTACATACATACACGAGTTCAGGTGTCCCTGTAGTTCCGATCACAACTAGCAGTCCCCTTACCTGTACGGGGAATCTGTCCTACATCCACCAGAATCAGAAGTGAAATGTATGTGAGATATCCACAGGTAAACATTTTAGAGCTCACGCTCACACATACACAGTGTTGTCATCTGAAGTGTACGTATTGAAATGGTATTGTAATTCCGGGTGGGCGAGAGAATAAGTAGGTCAGAACTACACCGAGATATAAATAGATGAGCACGCCATACCCACAGATCATATGTATTCTACAGCTACACAACACATAACATATTGATCCGACCTATTGATCCGACCTACTGATCCGACCTATCTGACTCATCGTTTCTAAGTACTGCTTATATCCAATATGTGGTGCCCCCTTAGTGCAACAACAATTCTGTTGTCACATCGCCCAATCCGGCACATTGGAACAGATTCCACTGCTACACACGATGCATTTCGGACTCTTTCCGTGAATTGGAGAGTTTGTATAGTTGTGAAGAAACACACTGTACATTACATTGTTGAAATTCGTATTTGAAGCATCAGCGACAAAAATGATGTCCAACAAAAGTCCGTATTTTGACTTGTTCCATTTTTTCAAGTGAACAATTGACTTGGTTTCAAATGTGTTTGTGACGGGGGCCACTAGTGGGGCAGGAAACGCTCTCATGGTATCATCACTACGTGATGGTCATTCATTGATACATGCTAATGTTATGGTCGGAATTTTAAATTGACTGCTTTTGGCAGGGGTTTCTTATGAATATGGAAATAGTTTTTGTCACTTTTATTTGATACCTCGTCAAATGAACAATAAATGAATTTATCACGACATACGATTTCTTTAACGCACTACGAAAGATAAGCTTCACATTGTTCATGTTTGAATAACACAGCTGGTCGCATGTTTGCCCATATTAGTACAATGTGGCATCAGTACCGGCAGCAACAGCAATAGTGAGCTATTTGTATCACAGTATACAATCGAGCATGCTCTCTCTATGAGACTTTCAAAGAGTGTCTTACAACTCATGCTCAAAAGTTGTTTGATCAGTGTAACAGCATTTCGGGTAGTTTTATGGTAGATATGTGGAAGACATCAGTCACAAAATTGATGTCCGGTGCAATTCCTTATTGCTATCATGTGTTGCCCTGTTATATTCTAGTGAACATGGTACATGTCTTTGCTTCTGTTTGTGAGGGATGCCACTGGTCAGGCCGGACACGCTGACCGTATCGTGAACACCTTGTAACATATTTGATAGTGATTCATAAACCCATGCGTATGAAATTAGCACAATTGCACAATGGCCTCTTCTTCAAGCAGATACGTCTTATGATTATTGAAATGTTTATTGTTGCTTTTATTTACATGAACCACGTCGATGGTATGTTTTCGTTCCCAGACATTTTGGACTCTCATATTTGCTGGTACTCCTAGCAAGGTGACAGTCTCATAGCAATCACGCATTCGCAATGTCGAGATAAATACTATTAAAATATATCAGCACTGATAATATAATGACAAAAACAACAATTGTTGTTGAATTCAGCCACACAGTACTGTTTTAAACAAGAACATGTGTCATCTTGAGAAAGAATTATCAAAAGTATAGGGCAGTGTCTATGTGTACCAGAGAACCAGTGTTTTGACACCACATCGACAGTGTGAGGTAGTGTTAATTTCTTCCGGGGATTCACTGTTGTGACGCAACATCGACTGTGGAAGGCTGTGTTAATTTGTACTGGGGAATCACTGTTTTGACCCAACATCGACTGTGGAAGACACTGTTAATTTGTATCTTAGAATCACTCTTTTGTAGCAACATCGACTGTGGAAGGCAGTGTTAATTTGTATCTGAGAATCACTCTTTTGTAGCAGCATCGACTGAGGAAGGCAGTGTTAATTTGTATCTTAGAATCACTCTTTTGTAGCAGCATCGACTGTGGAAGGCAGTGTTAATTTGTACTGGGGAATCACTGTTTTGACGCAACATCGACTGAGGAAGGCAGTGTTAAATTACATTTACCAAAATAACTAGCAAACAATCGAGGTGATCGAGGTGGTTCAGCATTTCTCTTCATTCCATCATAGTTAGATGTTTTGCTGTCAGAAGGTCAAGAAATAAGCGTGCATTTGTGTACAACAACCAACGTTTCATTATTTATGTATATGTTATATATTTGTGGAGAGTCAAACAACGCTTCACACATCCTCTCATTTTCGAATCAACAAGGTTCAAGTGGCACAGGAAGGCATCGAAGAAGGCAATCATGGTTAAATATTTATGCATTGCATCGATACGTCAGCAAATCCGATGATCATCAGATTAAATTTGCATGAAATATTTCCCATGACAACTGCTGAACTCCCGCTGTAAATATGTGGCTTTATATAGTTATGAATTAGGAAATATAATGGAAAAGAATTTAATATATTGAAGAAAGCTACATTGCTAATTAAACAAATTACAATGAGAAAAGAGTGTTATTCAGAATGTTATATCAACACATGCGTATGGGGTGGTGGAAAAACCGTCCAATCTATTTCAACACAAGATAACTCTAAACAGCCACCATGGTTTAATCTAATCGCCTTGTTCACTGATGACATTTCATGCTGTGGATCAGTCGCGTTGTGGCGCCTTGCGATGCACTGTGCTCTCATCCCGAAATATTGTCCTCTTATGCAACAAAGCATTGGGAATATGGTGCCTATATGAAAAGCCTAGAACTCCACAGTTCTGACACAGAAGGGACACCATACTTTACACCGGAGGAGGCAGCCCGACAAATGCCATGGCAACTTCCACCATTCACAACCCTGGGTGTTATTGGATCGTACACTAGCCACCACAAGTTGAATAGTCTCCACATTGCCTTGTCTTTGCATATACCAAGATCAATACAACACGCTATTAAACTGGTATCGTGTCACTGACCATAGCTTACAATAGGCACATGCAGGTGACTCTCCCGTGTTCAGAACAGCTACACGGGCAACAAAAGGTTCACTATCACAGTCAACATGACATTCAAGAGACTGAATAGATAAGGGGTCCATTATTAGTTTAACATATGTTGGCAGTATATGAAGTTACCCCTTCAATGACGAACATAATGTAAGCGATAAAACCTGAGGAAAACCTGAGATCACTGAAGGTTGTTGGTGTTCTGGGTATTCATAGCGTTTTCTCGCTGAAGACCTTTTCGTGTTGGGACTCGGGTTAAATCTCATTCTTGGAAAACCCCGAATACCGACAAGTATTGGATAATCACACTGACATTTTGAAACACAGTGGGTTTGAATGGCAATTAACAGTAGTTCGTTTGAAGTTGTGAACGTATATTCAGCATGGTGTTTCATATATTAAAGGGTGTCCGCATCATCTCAATGAAGCGATGCAGCCATTGATATACTGAACATGAAATAAGGTCTTTAAAAAAGTGAACTAGTTTCCTTTCAATCACTCTTTAGAAGACCTGGTATTATTGCTATTCCATTGTGATTTATTCACATATGTTTTCCTGGTTTGTCAGCACTACACCTGCGCTCGTGGGTTTCACCAAAGTGAATGGGTAAGACATACATTCTGGCTTTCCTCCTTCATCAAGCTGACACACAGCTGTAAGTGAAATACTGTTCAAACCAGTGTTAAACCAAACCGACTAGCTGATTCTGTATAATTATAAACAATTCTCGTTATCCCGTTTCATGTGCTGATAAATAAAGCATGCTGTTAGGACCTGACAAAACTAACTACTTCTACATAACGAGATCAATGTTTTATTCATTTGTATGCTTCATGTTCATAACTAGTAAACCACATGTATATTCAACATTCTTTATCATCAACATGCGGAGGTAGATGTATGTAACTACAGGCGTGTCCTCCCCACTGACATATATGTGCAATCTACTTCCTGGTTCTATTTTCAGCCACTGTATGTGTGGGAACTGAGTGTGAGATTCATTACGTTTACCCCTGATGCAATAATATTAACACACATAAACCACAAGCAGTCAGATACGTGTACTTACCCACGTGTTTGTGACATATGTCCACCAAGAGAGCTCCAACTGTGAGGATGAGACGGGTGTACAGCATGGCCATGTCGGCAGTGTGTGAAACTAGGTCGGGTGTCACACGTAATGTATATTGGCGCTGAACTACAGTGTATATCTACTTCCAGGTTGCATGTACTGACTAAAGTAGACGTGGTATAGTTTTTAGTTTTATACATGAAAGCTGTGTGTGAAACTAGGTCGGGTGTAGGAAATAGATACTGGCGTTAAACTACAGTCTATATATATACCTGGCTTGCATGGAAATGGAAATATATATATATTCACGGAATGATTTATGTCACTCAGACGTGTACCCATTAAACTAGGTCGTGTGTTACACAAAGCAGATATTGTCACTTGGTAATAGTGTGAACCTACTGATTGTATGGTTCTGTGTAGACATGAAATAGTTCTCAGTTTGTATTCATTCAGAATTTCTGGTTATTCATTGCATGGTGACAAACGTGGACGACCACGCAACAAACTAGCAGGTAAGGGTGCTGGGGCACAGTGCATGCGTATTGATTGTAGGTGTCTGTGTAGACGTGTTACAGACGAGTACCCATGAATGTGGGGAAGTAATACTGCCGTACGGCGTCAGGCAACAAACAAACGATTACTTTGTTTCTGCAATTTGCGTGAGTGACGCGTGCTACCGGTCGATCAGGGCTTTTTGGCGCACACCTTGTGTCATCACTGATTTTCAGTAATCCATTCAAATAATTTCCGCTGCTATTTTGCCTTTTACGCCTCGAGGAAATTTGGTTTGCAGATAATCGAGACTGGTTATGTTCTGGTGTTGACGTTGTATATCATACTATTCTCCTTTGTCTAAAAAGGGGCTGCGTATAATTTTCAATACATCACCCTCAATGTTGTTGCAGGAAGGAGAACAAACTGTGTCAGTTACACATGTTCATGTAAATGAATAAATAAACAAATAAACAAACACACAAACAAGCAAACATATAAATACAGATTAGCCTATGTATTCATACACTGGTTATTGAACAAGTGAAATGTGTAATCTTGATCATCTGGCCACTGAAATCATTTTCAGAATGACACTGGCTATATGTTATGAAACAACAGAGCAATGCCGACCTTAAGAGGCTACTCGAGTATATGGAGTTACCTAACACGTGGACCCACTGAACACATTACAAACTATGTTACATATCTTTCTTCAAAGTCAGGGGCGGTCGGGTAGCCTAGTGGTTAAAGCGTTCGCTCGTCATGCCGAAGACCCGGGGTCGATTCCCGACATGTGTACAATGTGTGAAGCCCATTTCTGGTGTGCCCCGCCATGATATTGCTGGAATGTTGCTAAAAGGGCGTAAAACCAAACTCACTCACTCACTTCTTCAAAGTCATGGTTAGCATGTAGGTCACAAATCGGAATGATTGATTTCTATAAACTGACATGCAGTGTGTGCATTAGAACTATCGCCTGGGTTTGTGGGAAATATTGTAAATTTACAGAAGCAATATTGTTCACATGTGAGCTTTATTCAAAACAGTTATTCAGTATTCATAATCTCGGAAAGCATGAAAAGAGCACTTGTTTGTTTCATAATCAATATCATATTTCTGAAATCAATGAAGTTATATTCGTTTTTTTTGTCCCTCCTCGGTTGTTTCAGATGAAGATACCTGGAAAACACGTCTGTCATCACAAACACAAAACTACAGCCACGATTATTTGGCAATGGGGCAGCCAATATAAAGTCACCTTTAGAATCCTCCAAATCATCGTCCTCTTCTCAGTCATCCTCATCCGAGCCATCTATCTTTTCTAGATCTATATGTGACAATAAACCACTCATCACTGATTTAGTCCTTATGTTCACAAAGCCAATGGCCCCACTGTGCATGTTACTGTTGTTACATTTGTCGTTCGTCTGACTTGAAAACAAATCTATCCAAATGTTATATCCCACCTACAGATTATAACATCCCAACATTGAAGAAGAAATCAATGTTTCCAACACACACCACAGTTTTAGTAATGTGCCATGTAACCACATCGACTGATAAAGAGGCAGTTTAAAGCAATGTAAACATCACAGTGAGAGTTATGGTAGGCATTGCCACTTGTGTGATATTCGTGTTTTTTTGTTCTGCCTCTGTGATCTAATGGTCAGAAGGTCTGCCCAGAGAGCGGAAGGTCTGTGGTTTGATCCCTTGTCGTGTCATACCAAAAAACTTTTAAAAATGGAACTTGTTGTTACCCTGCTTTGTGCTCGGCAATTAAAGATAAAACAAGTCCTTGTCGGTGGCTCAGAGGCAGGATACTGTTTCTGAGTGGGGAATCCATGTTTACACGAGGCAGTGCATCTCAGTGGGCTGTCAATGGCGGTCTGCAGTTATGACTTGTACAAACAAGTATACACGTACACACTCTTTACTCACACAGGCACATACTTAAACACTCACACACGCTCACACACGCTCACACACCTACACTAAATAAGGGTAATACAATTGCGACGTTAAAAGCCAGTTCACATCACCTCACCTCCTGAATTAAGGTGAATTATTTATCATAATATTGCAGTACTGGCATCTGGTTAAGTGATGACAATACCTGACTTTATACGACTGTATGTTAAAAACTAAAAACAAAACCTGGCTGATCAGGTTTCCTCATTTAGGTTCAACAACATATGCTGCTTCGCACCATGTAATAGCAACAGGTTAAAGTCCCAGAAATCTGACACTGATAACAATATTTCATCAGCAATGTTTCCATTATGTTAACGTGATCATCAAAGCGTTTTGTTAATTTATTTTGAAAATGTATTTATTTGCTATGTGACATTCAGTGACAAAGGCGATACATATATAGACACGAGCATAACCAACATAATTTAATGTTATGAAAACGTGAAGTGAGTAATAGCGATGTTTTGTTGTTGGATCGTTGTTGAACACCGCACTCAGCAATATTCAAGTTATATAACGAAGGTCTGTAAATAATCGAGACTGGACCAGACAATCCAGTGACGATTACATAAGCACCGATCTAACCAACTCAGCGAGCATGACCACCCAACCCCGTTGGACGCTTCTTATGACAAACGTAGTCGCCTTTTACAGCAGGCACGGGTTGCTGAAGACTTATTCTACCCCGGATCTAACGATGTTTTGACTCAAAGGAAAGGAATATAATATATTGCACATGTTCCTTGGTCTGTTACTGGATCTGATATGATGATGTCTTCCTTCTTCGTTACTTATTGTCATGGTCAGAACCTGAAAAGTATAGAACTACATGTAATTAAACACAGATTATATGACAGATTTCATATCACTCACAATAACATGACGTGCTAAACGTGTTACATTGGGATAGAAAAGAAGGCATATGCATCTGTTTAATGCTTCGTCCATGGCAATGACATACGATTCCAACCAGCAAGAGTGTTTCATGTTTTGGTTACCTTGAGAATTTGCTCCAGTGTTCTGGTATGGTGATGCTCTGATGGACTCATAGGTCACAGGGGGAGTCTCTGTCATGCCTTCATAGGTACTTGTACCTGCTGCAGCATCCGCTGAAGATGTAATTCATTACGTATTTAACAACAAATCCAAATCATAACTCTCTTCTTCTTACTGGCACGTCAATATTACCTTCACTGGAATACTTAAAATTAAACAGTATTGAGCAAAATGCAAAATCTATATCCACCTTTTGTATTCTCATAAATCGTCAACTGTGAATACGGTTGTTTTTCTGATTCCTTCACATTTGAATGCTGGGCTGGGACATTTATCTGATCTGAAACAAAACAATGTGAAAACATTGTAATGATTTCAGTGTTAAACGGACCCATATATATAGTAATATCAACAAAAGGGAAACCCAATAAACAGTACTAACCTAATGATGAATACCCTATGTTGTCCATTTCTACAGTTTCAGGATTCCTGGTGCTGCAAAAATAATAAGGTCGGTTTCTAAAAAAACATAATATAATGAAGCGATTAACTTCAGTATGCAATATTGTTTTTAGTTGTCTTATTTTGACAACTTATCTTGTTTATTTTTTTGCAAATGTTCCGTTCATTGTTATCTTTAACTTTGACATTTATAATACCTTTTTCGTAATGCAGTTTCTGGAAAACAAAAATAGCCACATGGTACATAATGTAAAAAACACGTCACACATACAACAAAACTCGTCAATCACGAAAGAAACCTTCAGTGCAAGAATAAAGTCAACTTTAAATGACTGCATATAAATATATTAATAACAACCTTTAATCAAACATTTGTTGGTTCAAATGTATCCTTTTGTCAATATCAATGCAGATTAGGAAATCCTAGGCCTGACAATTATACATTCAAACGCATGGAACATCATAATGAAATTATTCCTGTTGACAATAATTTTACAATAGAAATTTAACTAAATACCTTTCAGAATATGTCCGATCCTAGGCCTGTAGCCTGTTCTGTACAGTACGATCAGAATAATTCCCTCAAGGAGCATAGTAAGAAGCATGCCTCCGACTGTGGATCCTGCTATTACCCCTGCATGCGAAGATGGAGATTCGAGTTTTTGTTGATTGGGTGGATCTATAAAATAAACAAAATATCATCACAGACGAGTGCTTATCCGCGTATGTCACTTTATTCAGGTGAAAGTGTATTCATTTCCAGGTTCCTACTCTCAAACAAACTAATTTGTGATTGGTTGGCAAATAGAGAGTACTACAAACATTACATAGTTTTTTTACGAAACTTTCTATGTTATCTGACCGAGCGAAAGCGAGGTCAAATATCACAGAAAGTTCACGAGTTTCGTAAAATATGTATCTTATAAGAATCAGTGAGGTATATTTTTCATTACCCACGTTAAATATATATTCAAGAGTAAATACATAACAACTTTCGTTCGTTGACAGACAAAACTGAAACGGGTTGCAAAATCTGGTTGCGCATGAATATTGACATATGCCCTAATATGGGCAATGTTGACATTTCTGTGCATACGCATTAACAACATGCTCAAGATTCTTAATATTATATATTACCTAATGTTTGGTGTTATTGATGCTGCAACTGTTAACAGATATGTAGGTCACAACTCATTGGCTCGAACCCAGATACACAGTTTCACGTTGAATGAATAGATATAAGGAACATTACTTGAAGTACTTCTCAATGGGAAATTACTTAAAATATAAAGAAGATGAGTTATGTTTGTCTACATAAACAAGGAAAAAGTAGAACTTCCAAATAAAACATATGCTTATATATTAAAATTTTATGGTGATCAGTTGTTAATTGATTATCAGATTAAACAATTTGTGTCTACTTGAGTGACACATACCTCCAGCAGTCCTAGTTTCTACAAATACATATCTGTTAGAATCCACATAGTCATTTCTAGCATGTAGTCGGAATATGTGAATATCTCCTGGTGTAAGCCCAGTCACTTCCACCACCATCATCTTGCCGGTGTCTGCATAGGTCTTGTAGACAGTCCAAGTTCTTGTAGCAAACTTGAGATGCTCAAGCAGAAACGTCTGAGGGTGTCCACCATTGAAACCAGGCAGCCATGATAACCATACCGACGACGTTGTTGCATTATCCAGGTCTCTAAACTGTGTAGGTACATCTGGTGGCCCTGACAACAAATTAATATGAAAAGGAATGCTGTAAAAGCTTTATCAGAGAATGCTGTAATGTTAAGCTCTTTATTTGTACAATGAAGATGCAATTGTTAAACAACAGTCAGAGATAGGTATTGAAACATATGAACAAATCAGAATATCGCGGCTCACCTTCAGACACTATGCTGACTGTATATGTCACTGAACTGCTTTCACCGTTGTTGACTGTGAGACTGTAGTCCCCGAAGTCCTGCTGTTGGAGGTTAGTAAGGTGTAGTCTGGCAGTGACCGAGATGGCGGAGACAGGGATGGAGGAACCAGTGAGGTCCTGGCTGGTGCTGGTGGTTCTACTCCAGGTGAATGTAGGAAGGGGGTAGGCCAGGACTGACACAGACACGTTCACGTTACCACCCAGTCTAGAGGCGTATTTGAGTTGCTTGACAGCTGTCTCATCAAGTCGAGGAGAACCTAGTTAAATGTAGACAACATATGCAATGGCTCTGGAACAAATAATCTCCGTTTAGTATTATGAAGACTAAATGTATGGAGTATTTAGAATTATTTATCAGGAGCCTTTCGTTGTTACTTCAACTTTGCAGTATCAACATTAGAGACATGATAACACAAGTATGCATGCATACCGAGGGCCGGCCATTTACTCAACAGTGTTATTATCATAGACAAAGTTGCGACATAAACCATCAATACTACCATCCGTATAGAATATCCAAACAGATTACATTTGACCAGCAACTCCACCCTCTGGCTGACAGGTGCCCCGATGTTGTTAGTGGCAGTACAGGAGTAGTTCCCTCTTTGTCGACAGTCTGCTGACGCCAGTCTATATTCTGCTGTCATGGAGTTATCTGCCCTTGTCAACTCCTCAGTTCCATTCAGTAATCTGATGACTGACCTTGGGTTACTATCAACCTGGCATCGTAACGTCACCGGATCAGACTCGTTAACTGCCAATGTACCGCTGAGTGAGTTGACGGTGAACATGATTACAGTTGCTGGGTCTGAAAAAATAAATATAACTCGTTGTATCTTTGTCACGGAAGGTATTGGCTGTACATGGGACTTGCTTGAAGAGTATACCATAGTAAATGTGTGACAGTTAGCGCATGCGCTAACACAGGTATTTTTTAAAGAGAGTGCTTAAGAACATATACGTTTATCCACAATATTAACCTAGAAAGACGCCAAACACAAATGCCATGAGTATAGCGTGCTAAACTTAAAACTGAACATTGACGCTATCGACTATAAACTTACATTGAACATCAACACTGACTGTAAAATTGTCATCAGTGTAGACTTTATACTTACACTGATCATCAACACTGACTGTAACACTGTCACCAGTGTAGACTATACACTTACACTGAACATCAACACTGACTTTAACACTGTCACCAGTGTAGACTATATACTTACACTGAACATCGACACTGACTGTAACACTGTCACCAGTGTAGACTATATACTTACACTGAACATCAACACTGACTGTGACACTGTCACCAGTGTAGACAATATACTTACACTGAACATCAACACTGACTGTGACACTGTCACCAGTGTAGACAATATACTTACACTGAACATCGACACTGACTGAAACACTGTCACCAGTGTAGACTATATACTTACACTGAACATCAACACTGACTGTAACACTGTCACCAGTGTAGACTATATACTTACACTGAACATCGACACTGACTGAAACACTGTCACCAGTGTGGACTATATACTTACACTGAACATCGACACTGACTGTAACACTGTCACCACTCCCGTGTGTGTTGGAAGGCTGACATCTGTAGGAGCCTGTCTTAGATCTGTCAGCTTGTCCCTGGAGCACGGCTCCACTGCTGAAGGCTGTTCCATTGTGAAACCATCTGTAGGTACATCCGGGTCTACAGATGGCGGAGCACGTGATTGATGGAAGAGCTTGGTGTTCTGTCACAGTGTAGGAGGAGATGGAGGGGGTCAGGGAGATCTGGTAGGGCCCGTCTGGAATACATGGCACTGAGACACTGATACCGTGATAAAAGATATAATTATACCTCTAATAACACACATGTGGAAAACAATGATGAGTTGATGATATTCATAAAATTACTTTGAATTAAGGATTGACTGTGTATTTTTTTCGGTTCATTGAGGTATGAATCGAAAAACCGATGTGCAAACTGTATGAATCCGCGTAGCGGATTCTTACAAAAGTTTGCACGTCGGTTTTTCGATTCATACCTCAATGAACCGAAAAAAATATACGGTCAATGCTTATAATTAAATTCGACAACGTTAAACATGTTTTATCTACAATAGTTTAACCCAAAACAGTTGCATATATCAAAACAGACAAAAATGACGACATTGATAAACATTCCAGGTGTAGGAATATATACAGTGGCGTGACATGAATCAGGTGATCGTTTAATTTATGCACATAACTTGACACGCCTACACAGTCAGTAGCCAATCAACGGAGAGTGGGATTAAAACAATGTTCATTAGACCTGTCAATTAAGGCAAGAGGCAAAAAGAACTGCAACAGTCAGACTGTAACGAACCGGAAGAAATATGTCGACCGAGAGAAGGCGGCTGTTTCAAATAACATGGTCATTTACTGCGTGATTCAAACATTACTTCCTGATTACGGTAAAACTCAGTTAGAGAAATGCTAGTTAGAAATGAAACCCGAAGACATGAAAGTTGAACCGAGACGAGCGGGGACAAAAACAGGCGAGAGAGCCTGCACGTTTGCTGTTTCATTCGTTTTCGGCCTTCGGTTTCAAAGGGTTGTTTGGAAAATGAATATGCATGAAAGTCGCTAAATGTCCTGTGCATGACGATACACGTGAGCAGAAAGGGAATTCCCTCGACTGTAATATTGGGATTCCCCGACATTCCGAAGTAATAAAAGTAGTGCGCCGCGGTGGGCGTGGCTTAATTTTTTACATTCATTGGGAAATGAATGCAATAACACGTGACCAATTCAGCTAATCAAAATGCAGGAATTTCCATGAACACAACGAAAATTTAATTATAACAAAATGAAAACAAAAAGTATAGCCTAGAAATGTGTAGTGCTCAGCTTTCTCAGAGGTCGACGGCAAGAAATGATAAGTTGCAGATTCTGTAATAACTTAATAATATCATCAACACTAACACCACCAGTCAACAGGAAAATATAGACGCATGGTATCAAACTCGGTTATGTGTATGCGAGGAGTCCCCGAGACACGATCGAGGCATCAATCAGTCACTTTTGTCATGTTGCCTGTGCGATTTTACACGAGTCAGCAGGTAGTTTATAAGTTATGAGGTGAGGTGAAACGTGGTTTGAGGACTATTGCACTATAATGACGTGAAGGCACATGTGTGTGTGTGTGTGTGTCTGGTTGAACTAGTCCGGACAAATGCAGTGTGTATAGCGCTAGCCCACTGAGATGCTGCAATTTAAGAAGAATACTCCACTCAGACACAGTATACCGACCCTGAGCCGACCAGTCCTTGTTTGAGCCTCTTAATGCCGAGCGTCAGGCGTGGTAAGAACAAGTTCTATTTTGTAGCGTATTTTGGTGGGGCGCGTTCGGGAATGGAACGACCTTCCGATCTCTGGCGGGCGTTCTGTCCATTGGACCACAGAAGCTTTCTCATAAGTAAAGGAACTGATTGTGATTAATGGTGCGCTAAGACTGGGGATTGCATCGGTTGACATTTCTAGCCGTCCATTTTGTCCATAGGGGCTACTCTTATTTGCAAAGTTAAGTTCAAAGAAGTAAGTTTGTTGAATGGTGTGATGATGGTTTGACGCTAAAGTTTTGTTTATTGGTGATGCTCTGAAGCGTTATGTTGCAACAATACTTGTAATACTGCATTAAATCGTGTCCGTGTACCTCTCCATTTCAAGCCTATGTGTTCTCATGTCCTGCTAAAGATCATATATAGTCGACTGCAAAAACCCAAGGACAAATTCAAATACATATGTCAATAATACCGGGAATTTTGAAATGACTGCATTTTATGTCTACTTTCGTGAATGTTAAGAGTAGGTCATCCGTCTGTTAGCTGGGTGAACTTTGTGTTTATTTGCAATGTGCTACTGACGCCTACGTTCCAGCGATCAGCACCCAATCGAATTGATCAGCTGTCGACCAAGAATAGACCCATAATGATTTTTTACCTGTGGGTGAGAAACAAATTAATTTAGTAGATCCCTGAGCTACCAATGGAATGCGAACAGCCTTATATAACTAACAAAACGTCATTGGCACTCCCTTCCAGTTTCGTCGAAAAAAGCAGTTTTTAATGTTACTAATTATGTTTTATTATTATTAGTTTGGCTAACCATGATTGAGCATTACGGGATTCGGTAATGTGTGGGCTGTACTCACACTGAGGCTCCATGTTGTACCCCTGGCTCCACTCTGACTCCAGACCCTGACTTTCTCTGGCTCTGCATCTGTAGCTGTGACTGTCCCGGGAACTCACTCTGAAGGTGTAGGGGGAACCAGGGGAGGTTACTGTGATGTGAGTTCTGTCACGCTGCCAGATGTAGGTCAAGGTCAGGCCATGGTCAGCTGGGACAGTGGTAGAGGTGGAGCTGCAGGTCAAGGTCACTTGCTGGTTGTACACTGGAGTTGTTGACACTGGACGGACAGGTGTTGTCGGCTTGCCTTTTGAAAGAGATCATTTAGAATTTAGAATTTAGAAGCATTGTTCTTACGGTTTAATATATAAATAAGAGATCTATAGTGAGTGAATTAGTGGGTGAATGCGCAAGTGAGTGTTTGTGTGCTTACTTAAGTAATATAACTCTAACAACACCAAGGGCGTAATAAAAATGGGCTTCTCATATTTCATCCAATTGGAGAGCCAAACCCCGGTCTTCCTCGAGCTGTATTGTCTCGTTGACGTGTTATGATTTTTAAACGTGAATTGCCCAACCACAAACTGCATCCCCTCCTATTCGTAAAAAGGCTGACTATTACAACTTTAACTTGAACTGCAGAAATTTACGGGTTCGAGATGCCCATTTCATCTATAACGGTGCAATTCGCGTCCCAAAGTGATTACCATGATGTAAATAAACCGTGTCGTCATCAGCGCAGGGCATATTGGTCACTAGATACAAAGGGCACAATTCTCTGTCAGGGTGACGCCAACTAGGCGTCATACACAATGCGACTCATTAGATACCAGGGACACATTTCTCTGTCAGGGTCATACACAATGAGACTCATTAGATACAAGGGACACAATTCTCTGTCAGGGTCATACACAATGAGACTCATTAGATACCAGGGACACATTTCTCTGTCAGGGTCATACAAAATGAGACTCATTAGATACAAGGGACACAATTCTCTGTCAGGGTCATACACAATGAGACTCATTAGATACAAGGGACACAATTCTCTGTCAGGGTCATACACAATGAGACTCATTAGATACCAGGGACACATTTCTCTGTCAGGGTCATACGCAATGAGACTCATTAGATACAAGGAACACAATTCTCTGTCAGGGTCATACACAATGAGACTCATTAGATACAAGGGACACATTTCTCTGTCAGGGTCATACACAATGAGACTCATTAGATACAAGGAACACAATTCTCTGTCAGGGTCATACACAATGAGACTCATTAGATACCAGGGACACATTTCTCTGTCAGGGTCATACACAATGAGACTCATTAGACACAAGGGACACATTTCTCTGTCAGGGTCATACACAATGAGACTCATTAGATACCAGGGACACAATTCTCTGTCAGGGTCATACACAATGAGACTCATTAGATACCAGGGACACATTTCTCTGTCAGGGTCATACACAATGAGACTCATTATATACCAGGGACACATTTCTCTGTCAGGGTCATACACAATGAGACTCATTATATACCAGGGACACAATTCTCTGTCAGGGTCATACACAATGAGACTCATTAGATACCAGGGACACAATTCTCTGTCAGGGTCATACACAATGAGACTCATTATATACCAGGGACACAATTCTCTGTCAGGGTCATACACAATGAGACTCATTATATACCAGGGACACATTTCTCTGTCAGGGTCATACACAATGAGACTCATTATATACCAGGGACACAATTCTCTGTCAGGGTCATACACAATGAGACTCATTAGATACCAGGGACACGATTCTCTGTCAGGGTCATACACAATGAGACTCATTAGATACCAGGGACACAATTCTCTGTCAGGGTCATACACAATGAGACTCATTAGATACCAGGGACACATTTCTCTGTCAGGGTCATACACAATGAGACTCATTAGATACCAGGGACACAGTTCTCTGTCAGGGTCATACACAATGAGACTCATTATATACCAGGGACACAATTCTCTGTCAGGGTCATACACAATGAGACTCATTAGATACAAGGGACACAATTCTCTGTCAGGGTCATACACAATGAGACTCATTAGATACCAGGGACACAATTCTCTGTCAGGGTCATACACAATGAGACTCATTAGATACCAGGGACACAATTCTCTGTCAGGGTCATACACAATGAGACTCATTAGATACCATGGACACATTTCTCTGTCAGGGTCATACACAATGAGACTCATTAGATACAAGGGACACAATTCTCTGTCAGGGTCATACACAATGAGACTCATTAGATACCAGGGACACATTTCTCTGTCAGGGTCATACACAATGAGACTCATTATATACCAGGGACACAATTCTCTGTCAGGGTCATACACAATGAGACTCATTAGATACAAGGGACACAATTCTCTGTCAGGGTCATACACAATGAGACTCATTAGATACCAGGGACACATTTCTCTGTCAGGGTCATACACAATGAGACTCATTAGATACCATGGACACATTTCTCTGTCAGGGTCATACACAATGAGACTCATTAGATACCAGGGACACAATTCTCTGTCAGGGTCATACACAATGAGACTCATTAGATACAAGGGACACAATTCTCTGTCAGGGTCATACACAATGAGACTCATTAGATACAAGGGATACAATTCTCTGTCAGGGTCATACACAATGTGACTCATTAGATACCAGGGACACATTTCTCTGTCAGGGTCATACACAATGAGACTCATTAGATACAAGGGACACATTTCTCTGTCAGGGTCATACACAATGAGACTCATTAGATACAAGGGACACAATTCTCTGTCAGGGTCATACACAATGAGACTCATTAGATACCAGGGACACATTTCTCTGTCAGGGTCATACACAATGAGACTCATTAGATACCAGGGACACAATTCTCTGTCAGGGTCATACACAATGAGACTCATTAGATACAAGGGACACATTTCTCTGTCAGGGTCATACACAATGAGACTCATTATATACCAGGGACACAATTCTCTGTCAGGGTCATACACAATGAGACTCATTAGATACAAGGGACACAATTCTCTGTCAGGGTCATACACAATGAGACTCATTAGATACCAGGAACACAATTCTCTGTCAGGGTCATACACAATGAGACTCATTAGATACCAGGAACACAATTCTCTGTCAGGGTCATACACAATGAGACTCATTAGATACCAGGAACACAATTCTCTTTCAGGCTGACGCCATCCAGGCGTGCTAGAAGAGATGATCGTGGGTTCGAATCCACGATTCACCCTGTTTATGATTCTCTGTTTGATGGCAGCACACATGTCCTCGTGGATTTCACAAAAGTGGGAAAGATGTCATCCCACATCAATAGTGTTCACTCACTCACTACACTCAGTTTGTTTTCATCAATTGGCGAGTTTGTGTTCGAGATCTGATGTTGTGACGTCTCGTCTCATGATCAGGACACGCCCTGTCGAAAAGTACATGATGAAATGTTGTTTAAGTTTACAAATGTTCTAGTGGATGTATTTTTATTAAAATAAGGATTTCAATGCCCTAAAACATTGTTTGTGTGGTACCGTAGTGTTCAGCGTAAACGAGTTCTTATCTTGCTGATCTGAGATGAACAATGTATTGTGATCCACCAATATCTAGACAAGATAGTTTGACGTAGATTCACGGCAAGTTAAATACAAACATACATCAACTGTATCCCTGAGTAGTACCTCACTGTCATTTAGATTTTTTATTACTGATGGAAGCAAACATAAGTTAGTGATATGTTTTCATGGATTTACATACCTATGTACGTATATAGAATTCCAGGAATAATGGATGAGTAAAGTTTGAAAAATATGAATTTGATAATCGGTTAGATTGACAGATAGTCCTTGTTAGCAGAAGGAAGTCTAAAAATATTTTTCAACGATTTTGATCATGTTACATTGTTAGACAGGTGTGATCAAACACATACATGTAGTCAAGATTATACATGCATTTTATCTTTCCTCTGAATATGTTTCTGAATATTCAGAGGGCTAATCTATTTTCATCGCACACCAAACAGCAACTGGTTAAATAGCCACTCACCAAGAACAACAAGTTTCTGTCCACAGTTCTGTATCACGATAGTAGTCCCTCCATTCCCACACGTGTATGTCCCTGCATCAGATGTCTGGATGTTGCTGAGGGTGAAGGTGACATTCCTGGGCGTTGTGTTCCCCTGGTACACAAGTCTGTCTCTGTAGCTGGGGAGTGGGATGAACGTCCCATCACTAAACACTATGAACACAGTGACACCAGCAGGAGTGACAGTGTAGAAACTACTGTCTGGCCCCAGCCCTCCCTGTGGAATCTCCCAGCTGAACCTGGCTGTGTCAGACACTGCAGACAACACTGGACTGGCACTGGGGGCACCTGATACAACACCTGCAGGAAGAAGATATGTAGCATGTAGCATGTGGTATGACCGTACATTACACCAAGTGGAGTCATGTTCTGTCTGTTTGACCTTTTGTGATGCATAAACAAGATCTTCTCTTATCTGATGTAAATACTGCTAAATCGTCAATCATCACTACACAGAAGAATAGTTAGTGAGTGAGTATGGTTTTACCCGCTTTTAGCAATATTTCAGCAATATCACGGCGGGGGACACCAGAAATGGGCTTCACACATTGTACCCATGTCGCACAGAAGAACAAGTTAATAAGTAAACATATACAATCACTGCACATGACGCACCTGCAATGACATAAAGCAGAGCAGCAGGAGCTATCTTCATTATGCTGTTGTCTGGCACCTCGCCGAGATCTGGAATTAAGATTAATTGTTTGTCATTTATTTAGAGACTGTCCTGAGTGTCCATAAACTATGCTCTGCATTAAGGGGATAAAACAAGGACTTGTCGGACAGTATACTGTGTCTGTGTAGAATAGTCATCTTAAACTGCGGCATGGCACCTCAGTGGGGTAGAACAATTAAACCGGCATTAGTTCGGATTATTGCATCCAAAGACGCGCACATAGTGTGTGTGATAGTAGTGATAAACTGTTATTTTCTCATGAAAATAAATGCATATTTCACACAGAACGCTGCTTTTCATACACACACGCGCACGTACATGCACTTCGCTATATTTTTCCAATAACCCTATTATAAGCCCACATCCTCACCTGTATGGGTGTAGAATGACACGTCTACTTACCAGCTGTTTTATGTCGTAAGTGTGATTTTGGTGTTAAATTGTACTTTTGTTATGGAAAATAAAAATATGTTTCACACAAAAAGCTGCTATTCATACACACAAACACACACACACGCACACCCACACACTCACTCACACACACAGACACACAGGCGCACAGGCGCACACAAGCACACATGCACGTACAAGATAGTATAATTGTTGGTCACCTTGTTTACCCGACTAAAATAAGCATCAATGTTGTCATCATTGCCATATCTACGCATGTTTTGTGTTCTCATGACATTTTTATATAGATTTATCTGGTTTGAACAGTTTTTTGGTTGTATCACAGCTGAAGCCCGCTCTAAGAGCAAGGACATGGTGCTGAGAAAAAACAATAGTAACACCTCAGCCCAAAAGGCAGACCCATGACTGAGAGAAATACAGTCAACCTGATAATGTGTAAATATCAGTTGTGGAACAAAGACTGGTATACAAACATCCGTATGATCAAGGATAGTGTTGAATATCTTTGTCAATAACTTTATCATTTTCCGCCGCGAAAGAAAAACCCAAAACTGAATAATTTCGCCTTGACAAAAACATAAGGTAGCTATAGACAATATTTCCCCTGCTTCAATATTTGTATGTACAATGTATCAATAACTAATAATACAATGAATATCAAGAGTCATAGCCCATGTACATTTGCATTTTCTGCGTTCACATCATAAGTACATGTATATATTTACACACTAAGATTCCCGTGCAAACGTGTATGTGCGACTGTCGTATTCAGGACTAAGGGACACCACTCTGTATAGACAACAAAGACCCCAAAGGAGAATCGAATTTTACCAACTAGATATTTCCTGTAAAGATATGTGTTATACCCTTCAAGTATAAATATCTCATACACAGGCGACACATATATATGTACACTCAGAGGCCGTGTCAAAGTACTCGAGTACAGTGAGATATTGCGGGTGACTTATTCAATACATTAGTTCATACAGAAGAAGCGTCCAGTTTGCATGCTCAACATAGTGATTCAAGTAAACATTGACAAATCTTATGTCATGTGAAAAGGTAAAATATATATCGATACACATACCAGCAGAGACTTCAAGTTGTCAATTAGATATCGTCGCGGCAGTCATGGTGTCTGGCCGGATAGCTCAACACGGAAGTAATGTCCATTGCACTCGCTACAAACTCGTTCAAGCGTATCTAAATATAGCTGCGTCAATCTGTGAGTGAGTGAGTGAGTGAGTGAGTGAGTGAGTGAGTGAGTGAGTGAGTGAGTGAGTGAGTGAGTGAGTGAGTGAGTGAGTGAGTGAGTGAGTGAGTTTATTCTTAATAAAAATTGAACACCTGTTGGGTTTGGGGAAAACCGAGCTCGTAAACATTAAAAATATACTTATCTAAAACCAACCAACCAAACTTAAGGTGCTAAAGTAGAAGGCACCAGTGTTTGGATGAGGCTGACTTTGACCAATTGCAATGCCGCTGTTTAACTTGAATATCCCACTCATCCCACATATCCGAACGTAGTTTTATCTGGTCGCCTTGTTGGTCGATGGCATTTCATGCTGTGGATCAGTCGCGTTGAGCCTCAATGCAATGCCACCCTGTTGTCCTCTCATACATCATTTCATTGTAAACCTGACAAGTCAATGATGAGTATTCATCTCCGTTAAACAGATGGCAAGAACCTGCCACCATACTGTGCCCCTTGGTAGGCAGTCCAACGAATGCCATGACAACTCTGACAGTTTACCCCTCTGTGTGTGATTAGATTGTACACAAATCACCAGAAGTCCCTTCGATAAACTGAATAGTCTCCACAAGGCCTTATCTGTGAATATACGAGACCAATACAAAAGGCTATCTGTGTGGTTCCGTGTTACCGACCTTGGCTTACAATATGCGAATAAACACTGTCGACATGATATTCAAAAGAATTGAATATATCAGAGTCCAATTATTAGAAGCAATAGTCTGTTTCCTTTGACAACACCCATCTACTGAACACTATTCATACCATGTTTACATTAACCGATAGCTTGATAATATTTCACTGTTACAAGAATTATAAACCATCCTTTAAACGAAAACATACGACACAAGCATATTATTGTTAAAAATGATTTTGCGACCCGGACGTTTATGCGTTCCTTTATCACGCTGAAGATTCGTCCGTATTGGAAACGAAGATCGTAATCGTTCTTGGGATCCTTAATGCCGAAAGATGCAGCAGAACTTAACATCAAATAAGGTGTTATACACGAAACGACAAATTCATAAATCCCTTCACTTCGGGTGCCACCAGTGGTGCAGGATACGCATTATTTTTGTTGAATACTTGGAAATATCGTTATGGACTTCTATTGAGCTGTAACATTCTTTCAAAACTGACGTTGTAACCTCATTGTCCAACGTCATAGCACTGTATTGCGTCAGAGAACTAGATGAAATTTCGCTGCCTTTTCCAAATTAAGGGAATAGGTATTTTGTCTTATATATAAAGTATGATCTGTACTAACAGATCAACGTTCCAAAAACGTGCTTAAACCCTTTTATAAGGTATAATATCATTTATCATATTACCATACCAAACCATAGCAAGTAATTATCCCAATATTACTCTTCAGATTGAATTTGGTGTTGTAGTTAATACACTGGTGCAATCGATGTCAGGGTAACACGAATAGACAGTAAGTTATAAAATATACATACTTATTGTTATAAAGTTGGATAGTTTGAATACTGACTGCTGACATCTTTAGGTGACGTTAGTGATACCAGTACTGGGTATTTATAGTGCATTACTTTCATTTTACAAACATGAACTGAGTGTGAAAGAGTGAATCATTATATATGTCTCGTGTGAATCAGACCCTCAGCAAGGGAAACTAGATACATACAGGCAATGAACATACATCTTGATAACTTACATTAAGATTATTTTATTACATTTGATTTGTTATGACTGAACTTAAATGTGTCCACACAGGTAAGTATTATATGATAATAAACGAGCTTCCCATCCCATATTAAGCCTCTGTCGTCTCAAGTAACATATTTATTGAACCTGTCCCCAACATGGAACGAGTTTGATATTCTATTTATTACAAACGATGATTAATTAGTATTACAATTATTACAATAAGTTATCCACAACATTAAGCCGTGTCTGTGTGTCCTTGAAGTTGCAAGCTACTGTTCTTCTCGGTATGGAGATGCTCTGATGTCATTTCTTCGTAGGCACTTGTACTTTGTCAACGGTTGAAAATACCGACGGAACACAAAGAACAAATTGAAATGACGTATACCTTCTAAACGTAACACAACGTTTAATAGCATACCGTTAATTTGCGAGTTTACGATTGAGAACTGCAATAGTGTATAGAATATGAGAGTGTACATCTGACATAGTCTTGATATCGTAGGTCAGTGATAACGTGTCCCATTGTGTATTTCGTCAACTCGGGAAGCGTTTATTAAAATCTTTAAATTAAGCAAGGTGTAATGAATTAGTTTATATCACAGGTCATTATCAAATGCATATTGTTACTACTGTGGATAAAGGGCGTATTTCTCTTCACCGTTACATGTAGGAAACACTCCCTTGCATTAGCTACTAGTTGCAAATTTTACGGCGACTTGAACACAAACACATTCTACAAAGTCCGAAGAGTTATCGCTCTTAAACATTCAAACAATCCGTTTGACCATCCTGGTATCTTGCCTGCTGTCTGCGACGCTAGCATCAATTCAAACCTGAAACCCGATGCGACCTTACATTACCCTAGTGCACCGAGTAAGTGTAGACAACATTCATATCACAGGTACATGCTAACATTTGAAACAAACATATAAATCCTAACTGGATCTGAAATGTGGTTTAATGTCATAACCAAGATTATTGCACTTATGTGCATGTGTGTGTGGCTGCTTGTACTAGTTCGGGCTTATGCCGATTGATAATGCTAGCCAAATGAGATACCATGCCGAAGTTTAACATGAATACCCCACTCAGACACAGTATACTGACTCTGAGCCGACCAGCCCTTGTTTTAGCCCCTTAATGCCGAACGCCAGGCAGGGTAACAACAAATACCATATTTTAACATATTTTAGTATGACACGGGCGGGGATCAAACCCCGGACGTTCCGCTCTCCGGGCGGACGCTCTACCACTAGACCACAGAGGCGGTCTCACTAGATCGAAAGAAAATGGCTGAATGATAAATAGATAGACTGTCTTTATTTCCTCCAGTATTGAAGACACATTATAAAAGATAGATACATGAATAATTGAATATAGATGAACACTAAACAAAGTAGTTACATGTCTTATATGAACAAATGCTGACACTTTTTAACATGACAGACTAGTAACATTGTGTCCTCGCATATTTCAAGCTCAGGTTCTTTCATGCAATCTGGCAGGCCGCCTAAGAGGAAAGGGATACAGTTCCGCAATTACATTCATTTCAACCGTAGCTCTGTGACGCGCTTTCTGATAAACATGACTCACCTAAAGTAGTTACCAGGCTTTACTTGTACAATTGATGACATGCATTTTCCTAACTGGTTATTACTGTCGTCAATGCCAGTGAATACCATCATCACAACGGATTCATCTTATTCGACTTCCCAAACTGCAAGAGAGCTGTTGTTCAAGCTGCAAGGTCACACTTATATACACATTGCACACATTGCACACATACACTTTTATAAATATTGCAAGTAGTTCAAATGCAGAAAGTACACACCATATATATCTTTAGAGAATTGGAACATGTTACATCACATGACCACTTGCAACTAAAGAGAACAGTTACCTGACTTCTGTGTTAACATACATTTATCTCAAAGGTAAAGTATGAACACTCAAAATGGCTATCTCACTTCATATAGATAAACTTCTTACAAAGCTAGGAAATAGCAGTCACATATATAGTTTAAGTATATAATGTATACAAATAGACACAGATATGCTTTCATGTTTTTCCTTGATATGGACATTTTGTTTGTCCATTACCTGCATCCCTAAGTTTCAGATTAAGATGTTGCCGTTGTCGAGTCCAATGGACTTTGCAATATCATTAGAAATAGGATAGGAAGAATCATTTTTTTTTCAGTGGGGATCCTCCTTTGGCAATAAGTTCAAGCCCATCCAAGAAAAGATTGTGAGTAAAGGGTTTGGGGGATTTGTGCTAAGGAGGTAAAGAATGATACCCTTCCTCTTTGCTAATCAAATTGATATTGTTATTATTGTCATGATGATTATTACTAGTATTATTTTAGTTGTTGTTATTAGCAACCCATGAGAACCTGTAAACTTTGCGACACCCAAGCCATTGCTGATGTGTTCCATTACATATTTTGATGTCAATCCTAATTCTTTTAGAAATATGTAAATACGTCATGTGGCCAATCATCTTCATAAATATATAAATATTTCCTTTAACAAAACGTGAATAGAAAAAAACAACATATCATTCTATCAAGGATTTCTTAGATTTCGTTCATCTCCTCTCTTTTTATAATTGCTCAACCGTAAATAAATGCATACAAAACGACATTCCCGGGACTTGTCGATATCCATTGCCAACAATAGGTGTCGTAGTGATTCCAAATGTCCATTGTTGGACAATAAGACGTGTGACAGGAGGTCTCATTAAAGTGAGGGAACCTATTTTGATAGGTTGGATTGAGATGTAATGAAAGAGTAACAATGTCATTTATTTTATATCATGTTTGACATATTGATTAGTGCAGATATCGTCTATCATGCTTCTCCCAACTCCTTTTCTGTATACCTCATTTCACTTCCTACAACACTGATTTACTTGTCAGGTGATATTCATATTCAGAAAGTAAATCTTTACTGACAATATATATTTATAGGCATCAATCTCGTGTTCATAACCACAATAGTCAACATTTTGCGTTATCCCTGAGAATGGTCGACCCTCTGCCAAGGCCCAGTTATTACCAATGAGTGTTGCTCATTCCCCTGGATTGGGCAATTAACTTATCTGTGTAATCCCTTGCAGCGGGCAATCAACTTGAAGGCTTATACATCTAGATAGTGATTTGTTAAAGGGGTCAACATTCTTTTTAATGTTGATAGAGGATAAAATACAACTTGTAACTTGAGAATCTGATTAACAACAGAACATAACTTTATTCACTTAATGCTATGAACATAGCATAATCTAGGGTTTACAATGATCTATTGTTTACTGATATGGCGGACACGTTTCCATTGATGACAGTATTCACTGAACATATCTAAATTGTTCTAAATTGTTCTTTCTGCATCATCAGTGGACGCTAATAATGCTGTATCATCAGCATAAAGCAAAGCGAAAAAAAATCAGGTGTATATATATATGTGGACTCCGTAGTCTGTAAACCGATCGACAGTTTTATTGACCTATTTTTATATCAATCTAATATATAAAGTTAGACTTGTATTACATTATCCTGTAAACATGTACTTTTCACGTAATCTGAATTTTACAATGAAAGAGGAATGCTAAATGTAAACAGACATGATCAAAAGCCAACATGCTTTGAGTATCCCTCTCTTTCGTGGGTGAACCAACAGCTACACAAATGTGAATGGTTTCTCTGTTCTGGATAAAGTCAACAAGTATGAATGAGTGTATATATCCAAGCAAAGCACCACATCAAGTGTTCAATAATCCTTTACTGAAAAGATGATGCCATAGCATGGATTGTTGCCTCTTCAGATATTTCCATAGTCAGCATCTGAAAAAGAACAGAAAACATTGTAAAACGCAGGTAGGTAATCAGGAGATATACATAATGTGTAACCATGACAATATTAAACGCTTTGTTCGTAGCAATGATATTGAATGAAACGGCACTGGTTGCATCCAATGGTTTGAGTGAGTTGTCGATCTGAATTATGGAAACCCCGATGATATCACTTAAACAAAATATGGTGCTATATTTGTACAAACATATTCATTTTATATCGTAATATGTCACTCGCATTGTACACATTGTTCCTCTAAAGAAAACCCTGCTCGTCACTAGTGTGAGTAAGTGAGTGATTGAGTGAGTGAGTGAGTTGGGTTTAACACCCCTTTATCAGTATCCCAGTTATATAAGGGCGTGTAAACTTGATGTGGGAGGAAAGCCAGAGGCGATGCAGGTCTCAGACGTTTACCACTTTGGTGAAACTTTTCTATTAATAATAGCTTCCAGGGTGCTACCGTCAAATCAGCTGTTTCAATTGAAAGGTGATTATAGTCATTTGTGGGGCGGTCGGGTAGTCTGGTTGTTGAAGTGTTCGCTCATCACGCTGAAGACCCTGGTTCAATTCTTGACATGGGTACAATGTGTGAAGCCCATTTCTGGTGTCCCCCGCCGTGATATTGATGGAACATTGCTAAATTGGCGTAAAACCATACTCACTCACTCGCTATAATAAATTGATACCGTGATTGACCGATCAGAATCGAGTAATTCACATTCATGGTACAAATTATAATTGTGTGCGTTTATTGAGGTGTAAGAACCGTTGTGCACACCTTACACAAATGAGATACCTATACTGTGCATACATCCACTGAGACAATTTACACTTTGTGCTTATCAGCTTTTATATTATACCTTCGTAAACGCCAACAAAATTTGGAATAAAAGCAACAAAACCCCTTTCATATTCATGACAAATCTCTGCTATAATCCATTATACGATTCTGACTGTATCACGTGCAATACTTATCAATGATTAAGTCAATAATAATACACTCCCAGACTGCTAATCAATTCAGCATAAACAACTGTAGACAACGATAAGTAGCATTTACCAGTGTAATATAACGAAATAACATAGCATGCATCACTATTTTTGATTGGAACAGGGAGGATATCAACTCAAACTAGTATACAATGAGTGAGTGAGTGAGTGAGTATGGTTTTACGCCACTTTTAGCATTATTCAGCAATATCACGGCGGGGAACACCTTAAACGGACTTCACACATTATCACCATGTGGGGAATCGAACCCGAGCCTTCGACGTGACGAGCGCACGCTTTAACCACTTGACAACACCACCGCCCCTTTGAATAGATTGTACAACATACAAGCACAGAGTTTGAGAATGATGTAAGATTAAAGATAGTCACAGTGCTACGAGATTCAAAGATTAATTACCACGTGGTTGACCGCCACTGTCCTGGTCCGGAGATGCGTTGATGGATTCATAGGTCACAGGGGGAGTCTCTGCCATGCCTTCATAGGTACTCGTATCTGCTGGAGCATCTTCTGGGAGATATATGATTGTTTATATGAAATATATATATACATATTCTTTTAAAACGTAGGGGATAATGAAATTTAAATCTCAATTGTAAGTTCTATAACAAAGACCTATGCAAGACCGTTCATGTCTTTAAAATATTGTTCCCAAACACATCAGATAGTCTGCAGGTGCCGCAGGCAGTAGTCCCACACACGTGCGTAGCTTGTCATTCCTGCTTGTGACACTTTCATTACGTCTGTCAATCTGATTGATTCTGCTTATCTTACAGTTGTGATTAACTTGATTTCATTCATTGTTTGGGTATGATATAGCGACGAGGCATCTGCAACACACGGAGCGTCCACGGGCTATTGGCATGCTGGAAACTGGCAGAAGTCAAAGTGCAGCGGGCAATATGTTTAATGTTTCACAGTCTGTGATTAGTAGACAATGGGACAGATATTAACACACCGAAAATGTTCACGATCGACCCCTTTAGGGAGTCCCTGGTCAACGACAAGAGTACAAAATCGACCTCAAACGGCAAATTAGATTGGTGCAAACTTTCACCAGGCTTCTAGCGACGAGTTACGGGTCAGACGATTAGATGCTCGTACAGATGCTCCATGCTCCATGCTCGGCGGCCACGTGTTGTGCCGCCCCTTACAAATCGTCATATTGCCAACAGATGTCAATGGTGTACACAATGTCGAAACTGGGGTAATCGTCGCTGGTCATGTGGCATGTTTTCGTCAAGATAATGTCAACATGAGACCTCATGGGGAATTTGGCTGTGGATCAGTTCTGGTGTCGGGGGTGGCATCACTTTGACTGACCGAACCCCACCACACATTGTGCAAGGAAGGGTCACTGCACAGTACTATCTGGACACCATACTGACACCCTTTGTTGTCCCGTTTGCAAGGCGTGTGGGTCGACGTTTGTGCTTTCAGGACGACAACTCCCGTGTTCGACGCGCACGAATCGTCAGTGTTCACCTTCAGCAACACAACATCTAGCAATGAATCCAGACCTTTCCCCCATTGAAAACGTCTGGGACATTATAGGGACATGTGCGCGTCAACATTAAAGGCCGCCAACCACGTTGGCTGAACTTGGTCAGGTCCTGCATGAGGAGTGGGTCAGACTCCCCAAAATCGCCCTAAGGACATTCATACGCAGTATGCCTCGTCGAGTGAATGAATGTTTGACAAATTGTGGCCGTATTACGCACTACTGATCCAAAAACGTCAACTTTGAAATTTCCCATCTCACCTCTATCGTTCTTCTAGATCGTTCGTTGGCAGTCATAGCATCGGCTGTCATACATGTGTGTAATATGTTCACAATTCGTTCATTATAATGATACAAGTAATACTAAAAACTGATACCTCTTACAATTTTGGAATCTGTAAGTTGTTTCCGAGTATTCCTTACTTTCTTCTTTACCTTTTTTCTGAAGAGTATGTGTGTACATACATACTCTTCAGAAAGTAATATTTTCATTTTCATGTTTCAATTCGGATTTGGTTGTAGTACGATGTTTACAATGCTGTCAGTACCAATCTGACAGTAACATACTGCAATACTGGACATTCAATACTATTATAAATGTTAACGGCTCATTTACCTTTCGTGTTCTCATAAATCTTCAGCTGTGAGTAATTTTGTTTATCTTGTGCCTTTTCCTCCAAACTTGTGTACTGAGCCGGAGTGTTGACTGCATCTAAAACAAATACAGATTCTATCAGTTCTGAGAGACTGTGATATAAGTGTGAGATCATTAGCAGTAATATCATCGACCACGTACCCAAGGAAGAATAGCCAATGTTGTCCATTTCTGTAACTTCAGCTCGACTGGTGCTGCAAACGTTGACAGGTAAGTTCATTAAAATACATGTACATGAAGGACACATCATTTCAGTTAGGTTAAGATATTAAGATAGGATCATTAACATTATTCCATCAATTTATATTTATCTATTTGTAGTTTATCGCTGCTCAATTGTGATTACTTGATAAGCATGCACCACTTCAGCTATTACTGTCGTCAGTTATGTCAAAAGGTGACCTATTTTGGCGACTCTGTCGTGTTTTTGGAAGCAAAGTTTATTGATCCTTGCACGTACACAATCACTAATTAATTTAGAACGACATATGGGGGTGAAACAGATATCTGCATGGTGTTTCTTGAACAGATCAGCACTAATCGAAACTGATATCAGAAGACACGAAGGAGAGAATCCCTATAAATCCATGCAATATGTATTCATTCGGAATACCTTTTTTGTGATGCAGTTCCTGTAAAAGATGAAGAATGTCTACATTGTATTGAATAGTAAACACATGACGAATATATCGTATGTATAGTGAACATGCTGCACAGGGAGATTATGGAAAGTAAAATGACAAAGAGGCGTCAGAAGTAAACGTTTCTTTTACAAGCAGACATATATATATAGGATATATTTAACATCTCAGGACTGACGTATAGATGCATATATTTTGTTGTCGACTTTATGACGTATCAATTAGACCACACTAGATATGCTGAGTAAGTAACATTATTCCACTTCAATACATATCACCATTATTCGTCACTATATGCAGTGTCAATATAAAATGTTATTCTGACTGCAAACATTATTTTACTACTGCATCAATCTACTTACAATACTACCGAGAATACACAATATACCTTTCATGGCATGTCCGAACCTGAAACCCTTTCTGTAGAGGACCATCACAACAATTCCTCCAATGAACAAGGCGACAAGCAGAGTTCCTACAGTTGACCCCACTATGTCTTCTGTACAAGTAGCATCGAGTTGCTGATGGTCTGTAGGATCTGCGTTATCAAAGTATAACGAGTGGTTGTCGTGTATTTACTGGTTTGCAGTAAATCGGTAAACATTACCACATTCATTTTCCAACCCAAGTAAGCACATTTTGAACTTATTGCAACTTTAAACTTTTTATATTCTACGATGAAACTGCAACGACAACATATCACATAGCAAGGAAATTTTGACGCACCACAATACTTACTTCTACTTATATATCAAACACTCAGTTTCTGATCCAGAGTCGATTATTTACAGGTTACAGCCATATAAGTGAAATATTGTTGAGGGCAGTGCTATGCAACAAACAACAAATAGATAAACATGCTAAAAAACACACAGACAAATAGATATGGTGTTTAAATAACATTGCCTGTGGCATTGTTTAGTGAGCCGTTAAAAACCCCAACAAAAACAGGCATGCTAAAAATAGGTATGTGATGCTTCAATACATATTTTTCTTCATGTAATGTTGTTGATTATGACAATTTGAGATCCCACGTCAGTGATAATTACCCCCAGCAGTCACAGTTTCCACAATGACGACAGATGAACTGTTAGACAAGGCATTTCTACTATGCAGACGGAAAAGGTGAATATCTCCTGACGTTAGGCCCGTCACTTCCACCACTTTCACCTTGCCAGTGTCATCATACGTGTTGTACGCGGTCCAGGTTCTTGTAACAAACTGAAGATATTCAAGCATGAAAGACTGGGGATGTCCGCCATTGAACCCAGGTTGCCATGACAACCACACCGAAGACGTTGTTACATTTTCTAGAGATTTGAACTGTGTAGGTGTCCTCGGAGGCCCTATTAAAACAACGTTATATCATATGTTTGTTCTGAGAAACTCTGTATCAAGATACTCACAGTGAACATCATGAAGTGAAAAGGCATACTAGTACTTTCAGAACACACATAAAATGGTATATTGATAAAATAGGCTATAGTCGTAGTAATTATTAATAAGGGATTATATGAAAACTTAATGGACGAATAAGAATTGGATGCTCACCTTCGACCTTTAGACTGACAGTATATGCCACCGACCGGCCTACACGATTGCTCACTGTAAGGCTGTAGTCCCCAAAGTCCCGCTGCTGGAGGTTAGTAAGGTGTAGCCTGGCAGTGACTGAGATGTCTGAGACCTGGCTGGAGGAACCAGTGAGGTCCCGGCTGGTGCTGTTGGTTCTACTCCAAGTGAATGAAGGCGGGGGGTAGGCCAGGACTGACACAGACACGTTCACGTTACCACCCAGTCTAGCGGCGTATTTGAGTTGCTGGGGAACTGATTCATCAAGTCGTGGGGAAACTGGTTATATGACCAAGACAGGCGGCAATTAATACACTTGCTGAAGATTATACATATATTCGATGACGAATAATAAACTGTCCGCACTTGTACGAGTGAAAGAACAGCAAGTTGGGAATGTGACTTATAACACTGAAATTGTAATTGACTTGATCAATGACCATTTCCGATGTATAGTCCCATAAAATAGTTATGGGTGCTGCTGATAGGATTACGTCATTAGGAATAAGTTTGAGTTCTACTTTGTGAATTTGAAACGTAGCTGAACCCTTAATGTGATCTGACCTTGGATAAGTTTTCATATGTTCAATATTTCAATGTTTCAATCTGTTTGTTCACAAATACATAATGATTGACAGGTTAATGATATATTTCTTGATCAATTCATGCTTGTTTTATTTCGTATTTTCATACCTTAAATGTATTCTGATATTAATCAATCCAAACATAATTAGGATAACATATTAAATTTCGTTGGTTTCATACTTAGATGATATCGCTATCTTCCTATCTAACACGGAACAAAACGAAAATGTAGACAGTTCCTTATATACGAGGGCTGGTCAAAAGGTTTTAAGACAGACAAACATAACCAACCATTGTAAATGTGTTTTTAATTTTATTTTTCAACATCATCTCCCTGCTTGTCAATACACTTCTCATATCGATAGTGAAGTTTTCAATTCCAGTCAGGAAGACATTTTCTGAAGCCACCCAGAAAAAATAATTCACGGCAGTTTTGAGGTCATAGATGTCGTCATAGCACTTTCCACCAAGATGTTCTTTCAGTTTAGGAAACAAGTGGCATTAACTGGTGCAATGTCTGGCGAATATTGAGGGTGAGGAAGCTCTTCGAACCCAGATTGTCGCCCAGCAGCCTTTGCAAGTGGAGAAGTGTTAGAAGACGCATTGTCATGAAGTAGTAGAACTCCAGCAGTCAGCATTCCTCTCCGCTTTTTTTGACAGAGTTTCACAGGCAATGAAGCAAGTCAGCATATTAGGCACCTGTAATCGCCTTTGACTTGGAATAAACAAAGATCACACCCTTTGCATCCCAGAATACAGTGGTTCTAACTTTCCTCACTGATCTTGAATTTCTTTTGTGCTGGAGAAGTGGAATGGAGCCATTCGATGGATTGACGTTTTGACTAGGGACCATAGTGGTAGACCCAAGTGTCATCACCCCTTAGTAATGTCTTTTTGAATTTGACGAAATCCTCCAACGTTAGCTCTAAATATTCTCTGGCAATGTCAGTTGCTCTTTCCTTTAAATCAGAACTTATTCATTTGTAAATATCCATGAATAATAGTTTCAATGGATCCATGGCACAGACCTCAGTCTGCCTCAAGTTCAGCAGTTGTAATACGTCCTATCTCCTTGATTGAATCTTCATTGATGTAAGTAGAGGTACATGTACGTTGAGGTAGACCAAGGGTCATCATCAAGGTTTGTTATCTTGTTAGCCTTAAACATAGCTGCCTAATGTTTAACTGTGGTATAGCTAGCGCACTTATCCCCATACACTTGTAACATGTGGTCATGAATTTCAGGTAAAAAACATGATGACTGCTTGGTACTCGATCTTTCCCTTTGATGAGTCAATTTGGACCCCTATCACGTTCGACTGGCTGTCACACATATACAACCAGCCTCAACAGACCAGACACACATGCAATGAACAACACAAACAGTGTTCAATTAAACAATTGATTTGTTCACTTTGTTTAGCTCTTAGAGGAAATTTAGTCTGCTCAGAACTTTTTGACCAGCCATCGTAGTCATAGTTGCAACACGTGAATATCACGTTTAGACAAAGACGATGTATCAGTGTCAAATAGATACATTGTGTACTTAGAATAGTATGCATTATAACATATCAGTAAGAAGACCAAACAAATTGTGAGTTATGAATGACTTGAATCAGACCTTCTTTGCTCGACAACTGGGCGGAGCATAATCCCTTAGTTCCAAGATTATCTTCTTTTGCATTTTTGTATCCATTTAAACGAGAGTTTGACCTTTTTAGTTGAATATGCCAGTAATGATATTTGTTTTTTATGCAAGGCAGAATTAACATTGGACAAAAGGGAACACAATATACAAGCCTAACACAGCCAATACATTTGTTTTCAATAACAGCCTGCAAGAGTTAGTAAATGGCAATAATTACAACTCTACAGTGAGTACACCGGATCTGCTGAGTGATTACTCACATTTGACTAGCAACTCCACCCTCTGGCTGACCCAATGCTGTTAGTGGCAGTACAGGAGTAGTTCCCTCTTTGTCTACAGTCTGCTGACTCCAGTCTATATTCTGCTGTCATGGAGTTATCTGCCCTTGTCAACTCCTCAGTTCCATTCAGTAATCTGATGATTGACCTTGGGTTACTATCAATCTGGCATCTCAAGGTCACCGGATCAGACTCGTTCACTGTCAATATGCCGCTGAGTGAGTTGGCAGTAAACATACTTATACTGGCCTGATCTGAAAATATAACCCATTACAGTATTGACATGTAGGGTATAGTCTCTACATTGGAGTGGACATGTGTATGGATTAGTATGAAAAGAAACAAGAGTTCCATAACTGAATTCAACACATGCACTTCCACATTTAAGTGTTGAGTAGTGCATATGGATATGAATGTCCTTGTACTATTGTACCCTAGAAAAGCCGCAAGAAACTAAATGTAGCATATCCACAGATACCCTTTTAGGATTTTGAAAAAGACACTGATAATGTACTACACATTTCTAACATGTTAATCTGTCTATCTCTGGTTTTATGAAACGAACTTCCCCAACGGACTTTTTTACCACAATACTAGCGCTAGTTTAGATTTGTATATGACTATTTCATACCTAGAGGGATGTATTACACAATTTCATTTAGTACCTGTGACTTCATGTTTACACTGACAGCCATACAACAACCAACTATAACGCGGAATAAACTATTTAATCAAAAGGAGAGGTAACATAAGCATATATATGCTCAAATTGCAATACAGGAACATCTTTGTACTTGACATCAAACAAATTTCCATAAGAAAGAATAATTCTACATACAATCTTTCTATATGAGTAAACCATCACTATTGTTTTTAAATGTTTAATATGTAAATGTATCAGTGACAAATTTCCCGGATCAAAATGATCACAACAAAGACATGCAATCCATCTCTTCCATGGGCAGAAGGATGCCAGGCCGCCATCGATTCCAACGGGGGACATCTGCCTTATTGATGGTAGCTGACTGTCCTTGGAATTTCCTATGTACCGACCACAATCACCAAGTGTTCTCTCCACAACATTTTGGCTCAATACCTTGTACCGTATAAATGTATTTTCCTATCTCTAACAAATCTGGCTTTGCCTTTCTTCTTTTTGAAGAGAGTGTTTTTGGAGTTTGTCAAAGACAACAGTGCATATGGTTGCAAGAGTGAGTGAGTGAGTGAGTGAGTGAGTTGGGTTTAACGCTGCTTTTAACAGTATTCCAGTTAAATCACGGCGTGTCAGCTTAATGCGGGAGGAAAGCCCGAAGTGATGCAGGTCTTAGACGTTTACCACTTTGGTGAAACCCACGAGCATGGGTATGGTGCTGACAAACCTAGAAACATAATCGGGGCGAACCGGGATTCGAACCCACAATCATAGGTTTCTGGCGCGCCCAAGGGACGCAACTCTGCACAGCAAATCGCGGCGCCTTAGACGACTGGGCCACCCGTGCCCCCTATGGTAGCAAGAACACACAGAAACTGTTGTTATCCTAGTGCGGTAATTCTGAGTTGTCTTAGGACAATTTAAAAGTGCTTGACAGTTTGTTAGGCACCATAGCATACAGCATGTCACCATACATGGTTGAGAGTTCTTCCGCCCGTGAAGAGACTTGTGAGTAATTTGGATTGTGAATGAGTGAATTGTCTGCATTTACATAGTAAACACGATTGTTATACATGTATTTTACCTGCTATTGGTAGCCATGATAACCTAGATATTGTAACTGTCATATTGTTACACAACTACAAATACTGTTTCCTCGGCTTCTGATTTAAACAGAGATACTGTCAAACTAGGTCACAGACGGATCATAATCCTTTGAAACAAAATACGAAATGTGGATTTGGTATCCCATGAGTCTGTCTGTAACAAATTCACATGCAAATCCGTGACTCACATTGAACGTCCACATTGACCTGTGCTGTTGCTGTCCCCTGTTGTTGAGATCCCCCACTTGGTGTCAGACTGTTGCTGGCAGTAGAGGTGTAGCTTCCTCCCTGACTCCTGCTGATTCTGCTTCTATCAAGTACCGCCACAGTACTGACAGTAGAACCACCATAGGTCCAGGTGTAGCTTGTTGTTGGATGGTTGCCTGGTGTGGTGTAGGTACTACAGTCTATCCTTAGATTAGAGAACTCTGTGACAGTCTGAACTGGTGGTAGTCCGGATATAGAAGGAACATCTGAAAGGTGGAAATTACAAATCCATAAGCGATATTAAAATGACTGCTGTTTTAGCAAAATACATGTAAATTCACTTGTTATTCTACAGTAAATCATACATGACTCCTAACACTCTGTTATGTAAACTGTTATGGCATGATTTGTTCAAAATACAAATTATACAATAATGATAATAATTGTATTCATTAGTATAATATCATAATAAATTACATTTTGGAGAAGATTTTGCAATTACTCACACTGTACATCCACATTGACTGAGGCCGAGTCTGACCCCTGAGTGTTGCTGGCAGTACAGGTGTAGTTTCCTCCCTGACTCCTGCTGATTCTGCTTCTATCAAGTACAGCCCCAGCACTGACAGTAGAACCATAGGTCCAGGTGTAGCTTGTTGTTGGAGGGTTGCCTGGTGTGGTGTAGGTACTACAGTCCACATTGAGACGGGATGACTCGATCACTCGGTAGATGGACGGCAGACCAGATATTGATGGGACACCTGTTTGTTTCAATATTCATTTCACATGTCGTGTCTCATATGAATACAGCTCCTTCAGTTCCCACAACAATTAAACAGTTCTTGCACTTACACAATGATAACTGTGTACACATAACATGCTACTTAAAGACATAAATTGCACCTTTTGATTTGTGATAAATGTGGCAAATGGCCCCAACAATGTTTCTGTTATAATACCAATGCACACACACGCACACACGCACACACACACACATAATAATAACATACATACACCACAGCAGAGGCAATGACATCTATGCATATGGTCCATGTAATCCTGGAGGTCAACCTTGCCCCTTCTATCCATAATAATGTCCATCATATACTTACCCAACACAGAGGCAGTGACATCCACTCGTCCAGAACCTGACAGTCCACTCACTTGACAACTGTATGTCCCGGCATAGCTGGATGTCACGTGACTGGCATGCAGCTGGATGTCCAGGGAGGAGGTGTAGTCACCAACAAACACGCCCTTGTTCCCCCAGGAGTCCCAGAACACAGCTCTCTGGGGAGTCACTGAACCTGAGACTATGTTCACTGCGGAGAGTTGCCCTCCAGCCTCCTCCATGCGAATGAAGTAACAACATCCCCTGATGTCACAGTGTAGCTGCATCTTAGTGTCAGAGCCTGCTGGTTGGGTATCCCTGTACCTCCTGACCCGGATACTGTCACTGCCCCATCAACATCTGGAGCTAAACACGGAAACACGGAACACTCTCACATAAGACTTTTACTCTGGAGAGAATGCAAGTTGGGTTCCAAAACAATTTTAATTGATAATACATGTGCAGTGGGTCATTTAATGTTAAGCCTGACATACCTTTCATGAAGCTAACTGCAAGCAAAATCGTTGCCGCGTTAGGAAGGGACGCCATTGATAGGAGTGTTCTGAAAAGGTAATATTTTTTTGCTAAAGAATAGTACACATTTCCATCTCGAGACTTACACATTTAGTTATAATCTGATAGGGTTCTTACCTGTGCCTTGTAAGAATAGTGAAGTTGCATGTTTGTATGAATGAATAATTTTGTTTTAAATTTTTCTTCATAACTTCTTTAAGTGGCAGATATCTTCAAGTTGTGAAAGTATAAAGTGAGCATGTCTCCATCCTTTAATGACACGTTCGAATCCAAAATTCATTCGCATTAGGACTTTTGTTTTCTCAGAACCATGCCTGTGCTCGTGGTGTTTAAGTGGTACAGTGTGATATCTACGTCACGTCGGATCTTTACACTGTGAGCTGACATGCCCTGATATAACTGAACTTCTGTTGAAAGCGGGTTTAAAACACTAAAACTCAATAAGTGTATAACCTTGAATTAAGAGAAGTGTGGCTAGTTTCTTTTACTTGATGAAATATGTGCATATATAGTTTTTCAATCTGGTGTCCTTTGTGAAAGATGAACGTTCCTAATGATATCCATGCATCTGAATATTGCTGAACGGATCAAGTGTATGAGTAGCTGATCATGAAGTAAGTTGGCATATACGAAAGGGAAATCCATTTGATGTATTTGTCATTGTGGAAACCATAGGTTTCTTTAATATTTCATTGATCAAACATACCTAAATGATTACCTAATTGCTTCAGTATTTGTTTCCAAAGTGCACCGACATTCCATCTCGTTTGTCTATTTAATGTACACAGCAAATATTCAGCACATCGCCTCCAAAACCCTTAATCCAAAGCGTGATTTATTACTGTCAGTTAACACCTCCCTAGGTCTCCGGATCTTACATATCTATATGTACATGGGTCACACAGGGGCGGACAGCTTGCACGGCTAGACCCGGCGTTGGCTGCGGCCGCCTGCACCACCACCAAAAACGTCAACTTGTAGTAAGGACAGAGCGGGTCTCCGCACCTGGAACATTGTTCAATCGGACCCAGTGTGATTTCTGTCACGTGATTACTGTAACTTTGTACCATTTCAACCTATTTCAAACTACAACAAAAACATTGACTGCTGTCGTCTTAAACTTTACCCCTGAGTCTCGGATTACATCGTCCTTACTGATCTCCCAGTGGAGTTATTGACTCAAATGACAGATCAGCATTAGTTATATATAGCACCTTATTATCTGTGCTGTAAGGCGTGTTGAATATCAATATAAGTAGTTGCCTATGGGAAGCTAGGAATCCATGCTGCTAAACGTACACAAGCAAATTAGTCTAGATTTTGTTAAACGCTGGTTAAACTATCTGAAAATGTGTGTGTTTGAAGCATGACCCAATATATTGTCTCACCTTTGTGGCAGGGCTGTCCCTCCTTGAATACGTTCTCCTATACCTGGGTTGACAGCTGGCCACCCCTCATAATGTGATATTTACTTCCTGGTTTATAAATACACCCGAGTAAACATTGAGACCACATTCGCGTTGCAGCTTGAGTGAATAGGTAACACTACAATAGTATCATTTGTCGACCACAGTGACTGCGGATGAAGATCCGGTCTGTTATTGAATACGGGTTGTTTTTTTCCGGATGTGAATGTATCAGTTAATCAATCGGTTTATTGTTTTTCAAGGCCATATGACTCATATTACATACATATATATCATACAGGTATATTACATTGCACATGCACCATGGTTTGGGATAACATCACATTTCCCTTCTATTTCTAAATACAATATACATATAGTTTGACAGATGAAAAATATTCTCAAATATTTTACAATAAAATATTAGCATCGTACAGTGGGCTCGGTTGTTTGTTAAGACTTTGTAATGAGTACGTGCATCGGTGTGCAGAGGACACTCAAGACAAACGTGCTGTTCATCTTCGAGACAATTACAGTGCGAGCAGAGAGAGTCTGCATCTCCTACATTACCTTTACGTACGTTTAGAACACCAAAGGTATCATATGCACTTCTAAATTTTAATTCAGTACATTAATATTTTGGACATACGATTCAAACTGAAGTTCTGATTTCATGTTTGAATAAAATACAAGGTATCGTTTATCTGTGAGAAGTGAATGCCAGTTTTGTTAAGCACAGTCAAGTATACGTTGTTGCGGGACAAAGATACATTTCTCTTCATTTCCAACACCCTGGGTTGCTAATATGAGATACTCAATTTAAATTTTTCCTGTCACAGGTATCATACAGCATTTCATAACACTGGTGCAGATGTCTGTATATGGGCATAGATAAAACACGTATCCAATATTTGATACACTAATAGTGTCCGGCCACTCTATATGGACCCGTGAAAATAACTTACACAGGTCACATTTAATTTAAACTGCGAGACCTCAACTACAGCAGCCATATTTCTTTGTCTTTTTTGCGAATCGACTGGAAAAAATAATATTTGCTAAATATGTGTGCAAAATCCTTTATGCTTTAACCCCATGTTTCCAACAGGTAAAATATATCAATACTCGAAAGGAAACTGGTGAAGCCAATAAAGCTTACTTGTTTTAAAGTCTGTTTACAATCCAGCTAAGGGTGGGGCATCCATTGTTTATTTGGGTTGCATCACAAGTGTAGGTGTGCCCTGTGCAAATACTGCATCTTTGTCATCCCTGGATTCGAACTTTGCAATGATTTGGACAGGAGACTGGCGTGAACGTAGCCTGTCAACTTGATGTTCAGTCATATCTAGGTGGTAACGTGAATAACTCTCACTCTTGTCTAATGCATCTTCTAGTTCTAAACTCTTCACCGACTGTATGTAAAGTTTATGATTCAACTCTGCATTTCTCGTTTCATGCTAGCTAAGTGCATATCTAAGTTTAATGACTGAGCATTAACCTTTATGCAGATATTTCTATTGGATAAAAAAGGGTTTTGTTGCTTTACTTAATAAATTATTCTGCGAGCCTGAAACCTATAATCGTTTGTCATGACACCAGGTGTTCGTGAAGAGAATAAGCATATCCTGCTCTTCCGGTAGAACCCGCCACTCACACATATTTGTTCATGAAAAAGTAAGTGTATGTTTGTTGCAATACACCTGCCTTAGATTGCAATATTCAGCCACTATACTTTACACAGGAGGAGGCAGCCAAACGAATGCCATTCCGACTGTTTGAATTCACAATCCTGTGTTATTTGATCCTGCCCCAACCACCAGCCGTCCCTTTGCTGACTTGAATACTCTTCACATTGCCCTGTCTGTGCACATGCCAAGACCAATACAAAACGCGATTTAACCGGTTCCGCGTCACTGACCTCGGCCTACAAAAAGCCCATACAGGTGAATCGTCCGTGTTCAGAGCAACTACACGAGCAAAAATGGCTTCACTATCACAGTCAACATGACAGTCAAGAGACTGAATAGATAAAGGGCAGATTATACAGTTGTAATATTCTGTCTCCTCTCATAGCTATTCGTTTAACATTATTCTCACTATGTATACACTAACCGATGTTTTGAAACTATTGAGAACTTTATTATATGACGAACATGTATGATACAATCTGACAAAACCATGAGATCACTAAAGGTTGTCAGTGTCCTGGACATTATTTTAAGTGTTCTCTTGCTGAAAACCTCTTCACTTTGGGATCAGGGTTAAATATCTTTCTTGGAAACCCTAATGCCCACAAGCATGGGATCATCAAACTGACATTTTGAAACCAAGTTGTTTTTTACGGCAATATACAGCAGTTTATTTGAGGTTGTAAATGAATATTCAGAATTCTTGATTGATTCATATATTAAAGGATGTCCGGTGGCGTGTATGACTGTGCAACGGAGAGAAGACATTTTAAAGAAATTTTATCATCACAATCAAGCAATGCAGCAGAAATTGATATGAAGTAAACATAGAATAAGGTGTTATACATGAAATACAAAGTCAATTAATTCTCTTCACGATGGGTGCAACTGGCGTTGCAGGATATGGGTCAATTGTGTCAAACACCAGGTATTATCGCTATTTCATGGTGATTAATTCACACATGCTTATGATATACTCGGAATCGTACAGTAGCCTTCTATGAAAAAAAAGTTATTGGTTTTATTTACAACAGTGAATGAAAAACATCAATGAAAACCACATTTATTTAGTGTGAATCAGTTTTTATTTCCTATGAGAATTGGATCCCAAACAAACAAGACAACGAACGACGTACCTCTTTATAACCAGTAGTAAGTAAAAACGTTGGTAATAAAATGCGATAATTAATCATATACAACGTTAAGTCAGGCCATTGTGTCCTTAAAAGTAAGGCAAAATGAGAATTGATACAGAATGCATAAAATGTATACAGACCGCCATATCACTTCTGACGTGCATTACCAGAACACTGATTTAACATATAGACCATAACATTATTTGGACAATTATAGCTAATGGCAAACTTTGTTATTGTTATATGTATTATACTATAGTATACTATAATAAATATTGTATATGTATCCACTCATTGAAAACAAACTTATGAAAAAGTGACAAAGAAAATGCAGCAAATTAAGTGACAGATAGTTTGTTGTGTCAGCCACTAAAGCCCATGCAAGTGTTATGGATACAACAATATCTTGTGTTATGTGTTAATATAATGCAATGCAGATAATATGTTAAATAACAACGGTAAATACTGGAAGATAACAGTCATATGTTGAAATAAATAATACTTTATGAAAGTTAAACAGAATTTTCAGTTCACGCAATGTGTATTCTTATCCATTTATGTCATCACATCTAGAGCTTGTTCACTTGTTTCCATAGTCAGGATCTGAAAACGCATCACATGGAATTAAGATCCAGAAAATAATTTCAAGATAATCAAAAGTCAAACGATGACAGGGTAAACATCAGGACACAGTAGCAAATATAAGTGTATTCTTTAAAACTTGAATCATACCGTGTGTACAATATGTTATGCACGCTGTCATTCTTTTCAGGGGCATAAATATTCTAAGTAGTGGTTACCTTGAGGTTGAGCGCCGCTGTTTTGGTATGGAGATGCTCCGATGGACTCGTAGGATACCGGAGGAGCTTCTGTCATGTCTTCGTAGGTACTTGTTTCTGCTTTGAGCTCGACTGAAAATATGATTGGTAACGCATTTCCAAAGAACTTATATGTCATAGACTCGTCTAAACGTAACAAAACGTTTACTCGCATGCCGATAATCGGGCAGTGCCGTCACTGAGTGTACGAGTGAGAACTGCTATTGTATATAGAACGTCAAATTATCCATTTACCGTTTGTATTTTCATAAATCTTCAACTGTGTGTAATGTTGTTTTTCCGACACCTCTCTATCCATGTTTGAGTACTGAGTTTGACTGTTGATCTGATCTGCAACAAATCAGAATACGATTAATACGGCTTCAGCGCGGAGTCGGCACAGGCATGTTTGTGACCAAACTAATCCTCCGACCAGCAATGCTGACTTCAACCTACCCAAGGATGAATAACCAATGTTTTCCATTTCTTCAATTTCGGGATGTCTGATCCTACAAAAGTAACATGAGGTCCGTTTATGGCAATGTATAATGGAAAGGAACATCTTCAACATATGATTCTTTTCTGATTTTAAAGGACATTTATCTTATTACAAAAGAACTTATTTAAAAACGTTTAATTCATACATTGTGTATACCTTTTTGGTTAAGCAGATCCTGAAAAAAAGATGATTCATTTTATAGTATGCTGTAATACAAACATTACAAATGACGGAACATGTGGAACATGTTGCAAATGGAAAATATGAAATGTAAAACGTAAATGACTGAACATAAACTGTAGTGCATATTTCTTATATTATTATGAATTTCATATACATTCCTAAATTGTATGTGCTCATTCTGAGTCAGTGATGATTTAGATTCCTGGGTAACTTTTACTTTAACGCATATCATTCATGTATATCTTTTGACGGCACATTCAAATGAGATATCGCAGCACCAAAATGAAATTCAACAACATACCTTTCAAGACGTTCCCAAACCTGAACCCCTTCCTATAGAGGACAATCAGAACTAGTCCTCCAATCAGCAAGGTAAGAAGGAGGGTTCCTATTGTGCTTCCTGCTATTACACCTGCCATGTTATATTCGGCATTGAGTGGTTGTGGGTTTGTGGGACCTGCAGTATAAAATGAGTATCACATGAAAAAAGTATTGACTTCATGTTTACTGAATACATAGTTTTGTATTTTGTCCGTGTGACAAAGGAGGTGTCATTTACATCAGACAGGCTTTATACTCCATTCTTAACCGAATGATGTGGAGTTACCAATTGTACCCATCAATCCCTCCAGAAACAGTTTGAGATACTCACAACTGACACTGAAGGTCCTGACATCAGATTGGTTGTATCCCCCATACTGCCACGCCCCCAGACACTGACACTGCTGACCGTTCTGACTCCTGCTGACAGTGAAGGAGAGGGTAGATGTCCTGGTCTGACCACTGTCACTGACCGATGCTGATCCAGTGCCTGGACAGGACCACGTGATAGTAGCTAGAGGATTTCCTCCTGTCACCGAGCAGATGATTGTCTCTTGGTCTCCTTCAAACATCAGAGTCTGAAACTTTGTGATGGAAGGAGGGACAGGTGGTGGGTCTGAAACAACCATGATAAGTTTGCAAAACAAGTCCTTTCGTCGAACAGTATCCACCGTCCATGTAAGAGTCAGTGATAATAGCCTCTTTATGTATCACTCTGCTGTCCCCCTATATTTATCTATGATCTAAAACATTCAAATGTACTTTAAATGCAAATCTGAAACTCTATTAATATATTGGCAACACTTTTGAAAACGCACACTTGACTTCCAGAGACGCAAAACCAGCCTGAGTTGCTGATGTACTGGTGTTTCTGACCTTACACCTCACAGCAGTCTTGTCTTTATTTGGCCTGAAGGTGAGAGTTTGGGACCACCGGGTCGAAGATCCTGCCACAGGCCCCGTGCTGCCACCTACAGGGGTTCCATCACTGTAGTCCCAGGTGAAGGTCAGGTTGGGATAAGCAGTGGTAGTACAAGTCAAGGTCAGGTTTCTTTTCTCGAAAGCTACAGCGTTGTCTGACTGTGTAAAACCAACTTGTTCTGGTCCGTCTGCAATATAGTAATATCATGTGTATAACTACAATGTTGTGTTGTTCAAACAGTTGTGCAATACCATATTCGTCGGTTTGACGAGTGTCAAATATTTTGGTTCTTTCAATAGTTACAAATATCTTCTAACATAACTTGTCTTTACAGTGCACCATGCAATTTCCATTTGAACTTGACGGTTCAGTTTGTCAAGTTTTCATTGTTCACTGTCAGACTGTACTAGGGAGGGGGTGTGGATGTTGGTGGCTCTACAGTAGACTGTGTGACCCAGGTCTGACCTCACCACAGAGGTGAAGGTCACGGCACTGGTTGCCTGGACAGCCACTCCAGATGTGACGGTGTTGCTACTGGAGATCCCCACTGTTACCTCAACACTGTTCTTGTACCACGTGACAGTAGCAGCAGGGTAACTGGCCGAGGTCACACAGGTCAAGGTCAGCGGTTGACCCTCAGCAGATCCAACTTCCTGGTTGGCGGATGTGATGGTTGTTAGAGACACACTGCTGACAGCAACTGCATAGAAAGTGAATTCAACGATGCAGTTAATATGAAAATACATTATATAACAAAATATCATACAGTCCTTTGTATTGGTGTCAATATCATCGGCATCAGTCAATGTATCCAGTGTACTTATGATGTTTTGGCGAGGTTATGGTTATGTTTTTGTCATTTATAAAATTGCTTACTTTCCGGATAGGAATAGGTAGAGTTGACAGTAGTCTGTTTGTTGGATGCCTGGCAGTAGTACAGGGAGTTCCTACTGGTGCCTTGTCAGCTGGTAGTTGATGGTGGCTGTCCAGCCAGTGTATCCCTCTACTGCTGCTGGGCTGGTGGCCACACTGATCCCGTCTCTGTACAACGTCGTGGACGGCGGTGGGTTGGAGACAGCGACACAGGAGACAGATGTAGTGGTCCTTGGTAACACTGCTCAGAGGAACTGGAATAATAACACAGCTTTATGGAATATGGCGGTAGTTTGGAGACACTGTCTACATATGAAGTGGTTCTAGTGAAGGTATCACGGTTTGTGTGATCCGTAAGTACCTACCACTGTGACGTATGGCGTGTCTTGGTAGAACTACAATCTAAGCTCTGCATACATGAGGAAGGAAGCAAATTATAAGACATTATGCCCTGCAGCGTACTGCGTGCATATCTCACTTTGAAACCAGTTCTATCAATATGTCAGTTTGAAATTTACTGCATGTGTATATGTCACAGTGAAACTTACACTGATAGTTACACTGTAGTTTAACCAAACATACACATAACATACTTACCTGGAACATCCATCTGTATCCGGTTACGCTCTTTGTCCCCATAATGATAGTTACACTGTAGTTTAACCAAACATACACATAACATACTTACCTGGAACATCCATCTGTATCCGGTTACGCTCTTTGTCCCCATAATGATGGTAACACTGTAGTTTAATCAACTATACACATAACATACTTACCTGGAACATCCATCTGTATCCGGTTGCGCTCTTTGTTCCCAAAATGATGGTTACACTGTAGTTTAACCAAACATACACATAACATACTTACCTGGAACATCCATCTGTATCCGGTTACGCTCTATGTTCCCATAATGATGGTTGCACTGTAGCTTAACCAAACAAACACATAACTTACTTACCTGGAACATCCATCTGTATCCGGTTACTCTCTCTGCCTCCAAACTGAAAGTCACACCTCCAGCTGAGCTTGTCTCTGTCGTACACGGCGTTGGTGATGGTGAGGGTGTAGTTTGTGGAGCTTGGACAGGAGGTGGTGTACTTAGCTGGAAGATAAGTGGAGCGGCAGCTACCCTGGCGTACTATGTAGAATGCATTGCCATTCAGCCACTGTATAGCTGTATGTGAAGGTTCTCCAGTGTAACACATCAGAGTACAGCTTCCCCCTGCCTGCACATAACCTCGACATGATGACGTCAGCTGGTAGTTCTGGGCAGTAACTGAAACAATAGTAGACATGTTGTAACTTGTCCAACCCGATGTTCCACCATATTGACACAGTCTGTAAACAACTTAAAGTGACAAACTTGCTAACAACATGTGAATGTCAATAAAGGACCATTGAAAGGCAAAACTATCTGCTGTCCGGTATTCCACTTGTCTGACTGCTTTTATCACTTACTACACATTTGATGTCACATTTATTCACGCTTAGGGGAACATGTGTCTTAGTTGTCTGCAACAATGCAGTGTTGCATCTTTTAGCCTTTCAAGATACATATGATTTTGGGTTCGAATAGCAGTTCACACTCATTATGTTTCTTGGTTTGTCAGCAACACACCTGCGCTGCTGGGTTTCATCAAAGTGAATGTCCAGGACGTGGCTAAACTGTAGCTTTCTGAGACGCCGAGCTGTAACTTAAATACTGTTCAAACCAGCGTTAAACTCACTGATTGACCCTCAAAGAAAAAACTTCTGTTATCCCGTTTGACCTGATAAAAGTACATATGTATTCGGTATATGAAGGTATGATTTGTATATATTCATCACTATAATACCACATAGATACATCACGCTCTTACTTACTAACATGCAGAGGTTCAGGGATATAGCTGCAGGAGTGTCCTACCCGCTGACATATACGCGGGCAATCTACTTCCTGGTTCTATTTTCAGTGAAGATATTTGTGGGAAATGGAGTGTGAGATTCATGTCGTCAACGTGCAATAAGTCCTAACACATGAAAAGTACGAGCAGTCAGATACACATACTTACCCACTTGTTTGTGACATATGTCCAGCAAGATAGTCACAACTGTGAAGACGACACGTGTATACAACATGGACATGTCGGCAGTGTGTGAAACTAGGTCATGTGTCAGAAGTAATAAATATTGCCGCTTGAGTACAATGTATTTAACTTCCGGCTTGCATGAACGGGCAAATGTAGACGTGAAATAATTCTTAGTTTGTATTTGTTCGGAATTCTTTGGTATTCAATGAATGATTGATTTAGGTCACGCGGACGACAAACCAACACACTAGGTCGTGTGTCACACATTCTTGTAGCAGATATTGGTGTTGGGTATTACTGTAAACGTATGGATTGTATGAGTGTGCTTATGTAGACATGATGAAGACGAGTATCCTTTCATGATTTACCAATAAGGTTGGGTAGTTCGTGATCGTGGCACGTGATCATCTGTTTTGTTCATAGACCATCACCGCAAAGCAGGAATGGCGGGCGCTACCGGTGGGGGGAGACATACTTAGTCTTTTCATGAACATCCAGTGTTAGCACTGGTCCTCAGTGATCCATTCATATAATGTCCACTGCTATTTGCCTTTTACGCCTAATGGAATGATATGCGGATACTTGAGAATGGTTATCATCAGGCGTTGCTATTCTCCATTACTAACCTCAAAAGAAATTGGTATATTTTCAATACAGAATGTTGTAACAAGGAAGGAGAAACTGATTGAGTTATGCATGTCCATGTATTCTTAGTCTCTTTATTGAACTAGTGAAATGTGTAATCTTGAGTATCTGGCCACGGAAATCGTTTTCAGAATGACTCTGGATATAAGTCATGAAACAACATAACAGTGCCGACATTAAGTGGCTACTCGAGCCAATGGAGTTAACTAACACGTGGACAAACTGAACACATGCTTACCATGTCTGTCAAATAACGTTGTTTGAAAAAAGAAATGTAACACTGTCTTGTATTAAGTCACAAATCGGAATGATTTATTTCTGCAACCTGACGTGCGTTTGTGACAAGTATTATACATAAATAGATGCAATACTGTTGACATGTACACTTAATTCAAACTAGTTATTCTGTATTCTTAATCTAGGAACAGCATGAAAACAACACTTGTTTGTATCATAATCAATATCATAAATCTGAAGTCTATGAAGCTGTTTTCGTTTTTCCTCTCTTCAGATGTTTCAGCCAAAGATAATTGGAAAACACGTCTGTCATCAAAAACACAAAACTACAGCCACGATTATTTGGCAGTGGACCAACTTATATTAAGTCTCCTTTAGAATCCTTCACATCACCGTCCTCTTCCGCGTCATCCTCATCCGAGTCTTCTGTTATATCTAGATCTATATGTTACAAGATACCTCTCATCACTGATTTCGACCTCCCCTCGTCCTGCCTATATTTACCAAGAGTTGAGGTATACACTGTCACTTGTGTGGTATGCATGTGTTTTTGTTCCTTTAAGACGACCGACTCTGTGATCTAGTGATTAGAAGATCTGCCCAGAGAGTTGAAGGTCGTGGTTCGATGCCTTGTCGCGTCATGCCAAAACACATTAAAATATGGTAATTGTTGTTACCCTGCTTTGTGTTCGGATTTTAAGATAAAACACGTCCTTGTCGGTGGCACAGAGGCAGGATACTGTTTCTGAGTGGAGTATCTATGTTAACACGAGGCTTTGTATCTCAGTTGGTTGTCAATGGATGTCTGAATTTATGACTTGTACAAACAAGTATACACATACACACTCACTCATGCACCCACGCACACACGCTCACACACACACACACGCGTGCGCGCACACACAAGCTCGATTGCACGTCGCTAAATAAGGGCAATACTATTGCGACGTTAAACTCCAGTTCACATCACCTCACCTCCTCAGTTAAGGTGAATTATTTATCATTATATTGCAGTCCTAACATCTGGATAAGTGATAGCAATACCTGACTTTATGGTAAAAACTAAGAACTAAAACTGGCTGATCCGGTTTCCTCCTGTAGGTTCAACGACAAATGCTGCTTTGCACAAAATAATAGAAACAGGTTAAAGTCCCAGAAATCAACTGCAATCTTTTTTAAAATGTTAATGAGATACTCAAAGCGTTTTGTGTAATTATTTTGAAAATATATTTATTTGCTATCTGAAATATTGAGTGACAAATGCGACATAAAAAAAGACATGCGAATGACCAGCATGGTGTGACCGAGCTCCTTTCATTTAAGGCGGTCGGGTAGTCTGGGGGTTAAAGCTTTTACTCGTCACGCCGAAGACCCGGGTTCGATTCCCGTCAGGGGTACAATGTGTGAAGCCCATTTCTGGTGTCCCCCGACGTGATATTGCTGGCTTATTGCTAAAAGCGGCGTAAAACCCCACCCACCCACTCACTCACTCACTCACTCACTCCTTTCATCTACTTGCTATGGTCAATGTTTGGTTTCTGTAACTGTGCCTTTATCGAGCAAACATAAAAACATATAACCATGTTTTGTTGTTGGATCGCCGTTTAACGCCACACTCAGCAATATTCAAGTTATATAACGACGGTCTGTAAAACATCGAGATTGGGCCAGACAATCCAGTGATGATATCATGAGCACTGATCCAACCAACTCAACGAGCATGACCACCCGATCCGGTTATCCGCTTCTTACTACAAGTGTAGTCACATTTTACGGCCGGCATGGGTTGCTGAAGACCTATTCTAACCCGGTTTTCACGGGTCTAACGATGTTTTGACTCAAAGAAAAGGAATCTCATATGCTGCACGCGTTCCTTGGTCTGTTGTTGGATCTGATATCATGAAGTCTTCCTTCTTCGTTACTTAGTGCCATGATCAGGACCTGAAATGATAGAACTATATGTAATTAAACATAGAATATGACAGATTATATATCTACTCACAGTAACATGAAATTGTAAACGTATTACACTGGGATAGAAAAGAAGGCATATGTTACTGTTTAATTATGTTGGATCGTACATGTCCACAATTGATCCATGGCATTGGCATATGATTCCAACCATCAAGTGTGTTTCATGTTTTGGTTACCTTGAGAATGTGCCCCAGTGTTCTGGTATGGTGATACTCTGACCGACTCATAGGTCACAGGGGGAGTATCTGTCATGCCTTCATAGGTACTTGTATCTGCTGCAGCATCCGCTGAAGATGTAATTCATTACGTATTTCAATAATAAATCCAAATCATAACTCCCTTCTTCTTACTGACACTTCAATATTACCTTCACTGGAATACTGAAATTAAAACAGTACTGAGTTAAAAGGCAAAATCGTTATCTACCGTTTGTATTATCATAAATCTTCAACTGTGAATACTGTTGTTTTTCTGATTCCTCCAAATTTGAATACTGAGCTGGACCATTTATCTGATCTGAAACAAAACAATGTTAAAACATTGTAATGATTTCAGTGTTAAATGGACACATACATAATGGTAATTTCAGCAAAAGGGTAACAACCAATACCCAGTACATACCTAATGATGAATACCCTCTGTTGTCCACTTCTACAGTTTCAGGATTCCTAATTCTAGGAAGACAACAAGGCACGTTACTGAAAATTCATAATGGAATGGAGCATTAAACCTCAGTTTTTAGCTAGAATTTATATGTCTCCATATCTTTTTTCAATATTTGCACATGTTTACTCATTGTTGTGTTTAACGTTTGCATTTATACTACCTTTTTCGTGATGCAATTTCTGAAAAACAAGAACAACCACATGGAATATAATGTAAAACACACATCACCCATGGCAACATGTATTGTCAATCGTAAATGAAATCCACATATGATAAATGATAAAGTAAACTGTATATAACAACAGCAACCTTTAACAGGACATTTGCTGGTATAACAGTGTCCTTTTCTGTCAATAATGTACATATCCATTCAATAAACAAAATTCTTACAATCTCTCTTTCAAACATATTCGCATGAAGCCATTGAACATTATGTTGACATTTTCCCTATTGCCTGCAAATAATATTCAATCATTTTACCACGGAAATTTAACTGTATACCTTCTGGAATATTTACGAACTTGTATCCCTTTCTGTACAGAACCATGTGAACACTTCCCCCAATGAGCAAGGTAAGAAGAATGCCTCCTACTGTGGATCCTACTATTACCACTGTACACGAACATGGAGTTTCAAGTTTTTGCTGGTCCAGTGGATCTACAATAAGAAACAAAATATCTTTAAAGACTATGCCAATCACTTTCACTCTATTCAGATGAAAATACATTTATTTTCATTTTCCTACTTTCCAACAAATTATTTTGTGATAGTTCTAAGTGAAAGGTAATCACAAATTAGGTGCGATTCTCAACATGCATACAACACATGAAGCTAATTTCTTGTGTAGATCATGCTGATATATACATATATCTCGAACCATTCACTCAAACCAAGCTAGACATGTTTACTTGAATTCAAGAAATCCCTGTAAACCTAAATAAATATAGAAAGTTATACATTCGAGCATTCATTAATGGTGCATACGGACAAGTACCATTATGCTATTTTGTTATATTCAGACAGAAAACGGGATAACATCCATTTTAAATAATATTATTTAGAAACTCAACAGAAGCTAAAATAAGAAGGTATCATTTAAGAAATATGTCAATGGGCAAATCCTGTGTCGGTGTCTGTGGTAGGCCTAACACAAAATACTAATCAGAATTGTGTTATCATAGTTTAATTTGAGAATGTTTTAATGGTAAGTTCATTATTTGTGAAGCTTAAATTAACGTAAAATGAGCAAACAACAGTCAGAGATACTCACATAAACTTGTGAATAGATAAATCCTGAAAGCTTGAATTATAATCAGAAATCAGCATCTCACCTACAGACACTATTGTGAGTGTGTATGTCACTGAACCGCCTACACCATTGTCCACTGTAAGTCTGTAGTCCCCGAAGTCCTGCTGTTGGATGTTAGTAAGTTGTAGTCTGGCAGTGACTGAGATGTCAGAGACAGGGCTGGAGGAACCAATGAGGTCCTGGCTGGTGCAGTTGGTTCTACTCCAGGTGAATGTAGGAAGGGGGTAGGCCAGGACTGACACAGACACGTTCACGTTTCCACCCAGTGTAGCGGCGTACTTGAGTTGAGTTGGGACTGTCACAGCAAGTCGAGGAGAACCTTATGCAAAACATGTCAATGATTCAAAGCAAGGTAAACACAGGCTTGATTTGGTGGAGAAAGACACCCCATTGCTATACACATGGTAACTGCAACCTAGTTACGGAAAACATACTCTCAATCAACGAATGCAGTACATACATTGAGCATATTTAAAGAAGATATATATATATATATATATATATATATATATATATATATATATATATATATATACACACACACACATATATATATATATATATATATATATATATCAGATAGTGGGTAGGACTTGTTACTGTTACATCTTAAAAAAATAGTATTACAACTCCTTCTTCTACTACTATTACTACTACTACTACTACTTTACTACTACTACTACTACTATCACTACTACTTCAACTACTACTACTACTACTACTACTACTACTGCTGCTGCTGCTTCTACTACTACTACTCCTACTACTACTACTACTACTACTACTACTGCTTCTACTACTACTGCTAGCGTGTGGACAGATGCCCAGTCCACATTACTCACATTTGACTCGCAACTCCACCCTCTGGCTGACAGGTTCCCCGATGTTGTTAGTGGCAGTACAGGAGTAGTTCCCTCTTTGTCTACAGTCTGCTGACTCCAGTCTGTATTCTGCTGTCAGTGAGTTATCCGCCCTTGTCAACTCCTCAGTTCCATTCAATAACCTGATGACTGACCTTGGTTTACCAGCATTATCCAACTGACATCTCAAGATCACCACATCAGACTCATTAACAGTTACTGAACCATTACGACTGTTGGCGGTCAACATACTTATACTCGCCTGATCTGAAACAAATAACATAAAATGTTGCATTGCAAGTTGTGTGTACTCAGATTAAAAAATGTTAGGCGAATATAATTAGGAAGAAAGATTGCTGTAAGTATGCATTTCTATTATTTGTATTATATTTCATCATTCAGTTCTGTTCCAAAGTTTCCCCTATATCAGGGTATGAAACTCCAAAATATTTCAGCCAGACTACAGGACTGGCTAGCTGAAATACTTGCCAGCCCTGACCAAAACCTTCCTGCCCACTATATTCATATGTTTCTCAGGATAATTTAATTAAAACTTTAAATCGAATTCATTGAACATGACGTAATGCAAGAAAAGAAATAGCAAACACTTTTTAGGTTAGATTTGTATTTAATATCCTAGAATACATCATGCAAATAATGCTTATCATCCGGAAATATTTAGAATATGTTTACATATGAAATATAACCCGACCGTCGGGCAGGGGGATTTGAAAATCTGGCAGCCCGAATTGAAATCAACCCGTCTCGGACGGTCGGGCAGGTAGGTATTTCGAACACTGCCTATGTGCGTATATGACACCTATATCACTGAATTGAACTGAAACGATACATCAAAGTCAACAGAGATGATACAACAACGGGACTTTTTGCATCAGGGTTCCTCCTTTCAGTGTAATTGGGATATGGTGTGTTGTAATGGACAATGCATTGGTCATCTCAATCGACGTGTGACATCGTTATTGTACGTCACCCCACCATTGTCTGAAGATCACATACAGTAACTGGATGCAGAGCATTCGCCAATTGAACTTAGGCAAATTAAAAACTTACATTTCTCAATGTAATTTCTCTTTGGGGTTGTGTATCACTTCATGTTTGCTGTTATATGACAGTCCTCATAAGGCACTTTCTGAAAACGTTCATATGAACATATGCCTAATGATGTGCGGCCATCCAGCTTTAACCAATAAGGTAAAGAAACGTATCAGAGAAGGCGTCGGTTTCTGCTTGACACAACTCACGTGTAACATCCACTGAGACACTTGAGCTGTCATTAGTCCCGTGTGTATTGGAAGCCTGGCACTTGTAGGATCCTGTCTGTGACCTGTCAGCCACCGGGAGAGTCAGTGTAGCTCCATCACTGTGGACTGTCCCATCCTTGAACCACTTGTATGTACACGCAGGTCTGCAGGTGGCTGAACACAGGATACTTGGTACACTCTCTTGACCTTCCCTCCTGGTGTAGGACAGACTGGTGGGTTGTAGGGTCACAGCATAGGGACCATCTGTCAGAACAGTGAAACAGATTAAACCAATGTATGTACACACAGGTGGGGGAACACAGGATACTTGGTACACTCTCTTGACCTTCCCTGCTGGTGTAGGACAGAGTGGATGGTTGTAGGTTCACAGCATAGGGGCCATCTGTCAGAACAGTGAAACAGATTAAACCAATGTATGTAGACGCAGGTGCGGAAACAAAGGAAACATTGAACACTCTCCATATCTTCACTCCTTGAGTGGGTAGGTGGGGTGTAGGGTCATGAGACCATCTGTCAAGTTCTTTTATACAGACTGACCGGATCTAAACACACAAAGAGTCTTATAAGCCACAGCGGTATAAATTGCCACGACGCCAGTCTAAGTAGTTTAGATGATGTGAGAGTCAGTGTAGCTCCATCACTGTGCCATCATTTGTTTTCAGGCGCAGCTGGACAGCGACTTGGGTCTATGAAGTTTATGTTTGGATACCGACGCTGCCGTACAAGCTGATACAGACATACTTTCCACAGGGAAAGTAGCATTCCGCTTATGAACCAAAGAGGCGAAAAAATCGGAAACTCCCGCTCGGGTCGTGTCTCATCCCAAGCGGCTCGATTTAAACAAAATTTAAACTGATATCACAGATAAGAATATTGATTAACATAAGGGATATGGCCACTATGATAATATCTAGCGTTTGTAAGAAAATGTTTTATATACAATTAAGGCCCAAGTGGTTTTAGATTTACAGCAAAAAATGTCACTGAAACCCAATGGAAATTAACATTTCTTACGTCTTCAGCCTCAATTATTATTAATAACAAGACTTTAGTCGTGAGCAGTATCAGTGGCTTCACATTACCTCTTATAGGCGTTGCCTATACAATACTTAAATAACATTTGATGTACATTTCTGGAACTTTTACACAGTCACACTAGCATATAATTTATATGTTATCAGCCATTGAAACCAGTGGTTGATGTCATGTCAAGTTAGCCAGAGAACAAACAGTAACCACCCATTTTCCACGTTCGTCCGTCTGTTTATTACAGCTATGTTGTGCTAACCAACATTACTCGTTTCGTCTCTCATCTCTGCTAACTATCACGTGTATCACTATTCGGTGTTACATGGAAAGGAGTGAGTGATGTGGGAGGAAATCCCGAAGTGATGCAGGTCTCAGACGTTCCCGCTTCGGTGAAACCCACGAGCATGGGTATGGTGTTGACAAACCTAGAAACATAATCGGGGTCAATCTAGATTCGAACCCACAATCATAGGTTTCTGGCGTGCCCAAGGGACGCAACTCTGCTTAGCGTGTTGCGGCGCCTTAGACCACTGGGCCACCCGTGCCCCCGCATGGAAAGGAGGGGATGGTTGACATATATTTAGAATATTACTGTGTCATGTTTACATGTAGTCCCATGTTATGGGTGAATATAACTAACTGCCTATTGACCATGGTCGGGTAGTTTACTACACTACTGGGTGTATTTCTACACTAAGGTTCACACATATAAAACCAAGGTTGGCCAGGGTACAAGGAAGTGTGCAGGCCTAGATAGGCCGGGTAGATACCGGTGGAGGTGTGAGTAGAATTTGATTTATTATCTAACATAGAATGGCTGTCCTAACATCTGACCCCTGTTCTAGAGGTTTCACTTGTTCAAAAATACAACAATAAAATTCTTCGTTGCCCCATGTGAAATCATTCTCTGCAATCCTTTGTTCTACATGGCGCATGTGTGTAGTGTCACACATGGAATCCAATTCAATGAAACACGGACGATATTGTATGGAACCAAATGTCATGGACTGGTCAAATCACTGGTACAAGTAGCTACAACTATACCAGTTCGGTAGAATCTGAGTAGGAGCATTGTGCCTGTCACTACATGTGAGACTGCACAGGATCTTGATTTGCATGGGATTGTGATACTATTTGTGAGTGCTACTGAGGAAGGGGTCTACCTTATGAAGCATATTTGGCAACAACAATAAGGAATATTGGAATATTGAATGGCATTGTATACATACACTGTGGCTCCATGTTGTACAGCTGGCTCCACTCTGACTCCAGACCCTGGCCTTCTGTTGCCTTACATCTGTAGCTGTGACTGTCCCGGGAACTCACTGTGAAGGTGTAGGGAGAACCAGGGGAGGTAACTGTGATGTCAGCGTTGTCACGCCGCCAGGTGTTGGTCAAGGTCAGGCCATGGTCAGCTGGGACAGTGGTGGAGGTGGAGCTGCAGGTCAAGGTGAACTGTCTTTCAAACAAAGGCGCTGATTGTCCAATGAGTGTTGGTTTGGTGGGTTGGCCTGTATTAAAAAGTTCATTACTTTACCCGAACGTTCATGAAAATAAAACTTGTTTATTTGTTCGTGTATCGGGATATTACCCATTTATAGCTGGATTCATGGATTGATACAGATTATTATGTGAAATGTCTTTGCCCATAGAGATAAAATGTGATGTCCAAATTGAATGTCAGTCATGTACTAGCTAATATATCCATTGTGTACGTGTGTGTGTAAGCAGCAGTACCAATAGCAGTTACAAATACAATACGATGAACGAACGAGTGACTGTCTACTGACAACCACAGTACAAGGCATGAGTGTCTTAATCAGAAGGACTTACACACTGATTGTTTAATAGTTGCTGTAAAGATGCAAACTCAATGTCAATGCTCATGAATCCAAAGTGTTCATTCTGGAGAGCAGCAAAATGGTCTGTCTCACTATCTCAAATATGTTTAAAGCTATAACTATCTTGTCGTAACATTCAAAATCATTACTATTGGTTCGTTACTAATATGCATTGCTTATGTGAACAACCATTTTAAGTCAAGTATGTCGCCATAAACTTGTAACTTGAATGAGTTTGTTATATGTTACGCTTCTTTTAAGTATTAACACCTGGTTTGAATATACACGGTGTCCAGGAAGAACACATTTCTCAAATATTTAGTTTCGTTTGAAAAAATATATGCCAAATTATGCGAAACCGATATTATCTCCCTAAAAACCAAGAATTATACGTTTCAGATTATACGACCAGATGATGAAGGGGAAAGTATTCAAATATATTTTACTGTATACACACTTTCTACATTAATGACAATCTTAGAACTTATCGAAATTTAAGTTTCAAGTGATTCAGTTTTGTGGTTTTGTTTCCATAAACTGAGAAAACATTAGAAAAATTCTGCTTACGAAAAACTGTTTCCTGATGGTTTGAAAACAGAATGAGCGTAGCATGCGTTGCATTTTGACAGAACGATGTGGCTGATGTCGTATTGGTGTCGACAGTTCTTTGTGTTAAGGGTTCAATGAGCAGTCTGTGTAATTAGTATTGTTAACTTTCTATAACAATTGACTCAAATATTTTTAAGTAAGAATATTTAAGTCAGTTCAAAAGTATCATTATGTCTAAAGGTTCTCAGTAAGTAACTGACAACCAGTAACTGGTGATGTGATGAAGGAAATTACACAGCATAGTCATTTGTAAATGTATCAGCAACAAATATCTAGCAAGAACATTATGTTTCTCTGAGAAAATGGAAACGACGTGCCTTATTGTTGACATTTAGAAAAAAACAATCTCTCTCGCTCTCTTGCTTGTTTTGTAAATATGTTCATTAAAAGTGAGACCTGGTCCTGAGTTGTCTGGAAATGGATATGACTTTAGTTTTTTAGCCAACGACTTCGATGTCACGCTGACACTTTGAACACAGCCACAGATATCAAAACAAGGTAATCAGTGGTCTGGGCAATTAATATGAAATAATATACACTAAGTAAGTAAAAGCAAACCCTAATTCGGGAAACCGGGTGACACCAGTTATTTTGTAAAATTGACTTACCAGGAACAACCAGCTTCTGTCCACACTGAGGTATGATGTCAGCTATTCCATTACTCCCACAGATGAAGTCCCCAGCATCAGATCTGACGACACTGCGCAGGTCGAAGGTCATGACCTTGGGGTCAGAAGCTAGATCCCCGGTGTAGGTGACACGAGCTGTGTAGTTCCCTAATGTCAGGTGGTTATTGGTATTTGTATTGACCAACAGTACCTGAGCTCCAGATGGACTGATGACATATAGGGCAACGGGGACGGAACCACCTGTTACAGCCGGCACCTGCCACCTGAAGCTTGCAGTCTGAGACTCCCTCACTACCACAGGGCTGGAGGACAGCTGGGAGGCTACACCTGTCGGGAATACAATTGAATATAAACACATGGAATACACTATCTGAAACTGAGTATGCCTCACCGTACCTTTTGGTCTTTCCAAGGTGACGCGCCCTGAAAACAGTGTTAAAACCAATTCACACATGTATTCGTTATCCCTGGTAACTTAAGTATGGCTTTGCTAGTTTTGTTAGCATTAATATGAAATTAACTCACCATTTAATAATATTCCCCAAACGTAAATTGTCCTGGCTCCCTTGTAATATTCAATGATTTTACCAGTCATTGTCGACTCATTTCTGAAATATAACGAATTGTCTATGAGTTACAAAAACTGATTAGGATAATTATTGTATTTGTATTTCATTGTGATCATACTGTTGCTTTGATAAACTCATCTAATTCCTCGACTTTCACATGTCAATATTCATCAAGCTAAATGGTAAAAATAATTCACAAATACAATGCAATGCAATACTAAAAGGATTGACATGAAAATAAAGTGTTACATAAGGACTGTAACATTCTTATATTTCACATTTGTACCTAAAATTTCAGTGGCGCCTTAATGTCTGGTAAGATTCGTCTACGTTATCCTTAAATTGTAATCTCAAATATATAAACAAATTCCCCTGCTGGTCACCAGGTTATTAATTTCTCTCACCCGAGCAAACAGCAGCCAACCTGACAATAGTGTTTGCAGGGCATATCTACTCTTAGTTGAAATGTTGATAATTGTCAGCAGGAATAAACTACACCTTTTGTCCTGCGTTCACATTATATACATACATATTTGCATACTTGTGTAAGCAAAACGCCTCAGTGGTCTTGTGGATAAACGGTCTGTCCGGACGAGAGATAGACACACTAACACACACGTTAACACATTTACACGCCTGTATGCACGTCGCTATCAGCCTTTAAGACGTTAAAACTTATTTTACCCCACCTCAATTCAATTGTTTAAACAGATACATGTGACTATCGTGTAAGGGCCTAAGGCCCAAAACTCTGCAAGCTGTAAGACCACAAAGCCAATTGCACTCAAATCGTATCAATATGTGTTCACTTACTAGATATTACCTGTCAAGATATCTGTTTTTATGAGCCCTTCACGTACACATAACTCATACATAGGCGACCCATATAGTGTTGGCACGTGGCCAGCAACTCGCAGAAGGTAGTTTGAGGCTGCCTTTGGCAGCTAGATTCCTAGAGAGAATTTCGGTCCTGCCCAACTCTGAAACATGTAGCATGTGACTTTGCTCGAAATATGACTCATCCAATAATAAATGGTACCCGGTGGGCTGAGATGGTAATGTGACCGTTATCCTTCCAGCGCCTCAGAGGCAGTTTGGGTTGTATACACCCCAGGGAGTTGATAATGAAAATAGATTTCACACTGAGCTATTGAGGGTAAATAATGTTACGCTTTCAGTATGTATTAAGGTGTGGATTTGGAGTAGTATAGATATGCACGTTATTATGTGCAGATGTAGGCCGCGTCAAAGAGCGCGATTATATCGAGATGTTGTGGCTGATTAGTATACATTATGTCATGCAGAAGAAGCGTTCACACATGGCGATACCAGTAAACTAAGACACATTAGATGCCATGTGGTAAGCCTGGAAATATAGTAGAGTACAAACCTGCTGAGATTTCAAGTTGTCAGACACAAATCGTTGCTACAGTCGTCTTGTGTGACCGGGTAGCTCAACACGGAAGTAATCTACAAGGTCGTGTTAACATGTATACCAGTTGCTTTGAACTTGTTCAGTAGTGGCTAAATATAGCTGAGTCAATCTGCGGCATATGGGTGCAGGTTCAGTGTTACATAAATGTACAGCGGCTTTGATAAAAGCTGAACTGGTGATAGCAAATTAAATCCGTCAAAATGTACTCTTCCAAAAGGAGGGGAAGGGATATTCGAAAATAACAGATTATTGCAGAAATACAAATATGTATCGCGTGATGGTAATGAATGGAAAATACACATGAAGGAATAAGGAAGCTGGAGTTTGTGCTGATTTGTTAAATAATGGGTCATCGGCAATGCTCCTCCCATTGTCTGAGCCAGTTCGACTGATGTGGAGGTTTTCCTCTGACGTCGGCGGACATCTGATATGTATATATGGTCTCATGGCTGATCGTTGCATTCTGGTGAGTTTTAGCTGTTGGAGGTGTTTAGGAAGTCAAAACGTTTATCAGCATGACGCACACACGACACATATATTGACGCCATTATGCTGACTCGGTAGTACTGCCAAGCGACCCTTTCATGTACAATATGCAGTCAAAGTCTGTGTTTTAATGTAATGTACTCCATCCTATGAAATGGCTTCTGAACTAGCAATATGATGCTCGGTAATTCACCATAGCCATCACCGTATTGTGCATTCTGTGGATCGTACATGTATCTACTGTTGTTAACGGGAGACGAGGGTGACTGTCAAGGCTCTCCTTGTCATGTGTTAACTCTAATATAGAAGGGTTGGTAATAAAGAAGGCTTACATCCCTCTGCCCAACAGGTGCACCGCCCTTTGTTGTTAGATATAAACTGTAAAGCAACATATTAACAGATTCCGCCGACACACTCCTCATATTCTCATATTCTCTGGTTCCTTTCTAACACACCTCTTCTTGGCAATCAAAACCGGACTGATCTGGTTTAGTAGCATAAAACTGAACCATTGCGTCCCAAGTAAGTTAAACATTAGGAGACATTAATGAGTCGGTTGCACTGACAAACTCGCCAGGATAAATAGAGGGTATCACGCATGTTTGATTGAGGAATGTAAATATCCTGCAATAGGAATAAACATTGTGACAACTGATCCCGCTAGGCTGGGTCAAGTGTCCTCGCTAAATTGTTTCGCAATGTATATCTCCAAAGTTGTCAAAACTTTTCAAATGCCTCAACTTACTGGTTTTCAGTATAGTAGGTTATTCTTTTGATAATGATAGCAATAATTGTAGTAGTTTCTCCAAATTTCCGATGATTAATTCTGACTCGGATCGCCGGATGACAAGTGCGTCTTCATGTGGTTTCTAAAACACTGAAAGTAGTCCCTAATTCACCTTTGATATTTGCATCTCTAGCCGCATATAACCCCAATGGATATCGTTTTTATTCGTTTTTCTGCCTGGAAACCTACCCCTTTTATGATACTATAACTTTTGTTCACTTTAGTCTTGGTAGATCATCCCGTAAATATCCACATAATAGGACAGACTTTCTTTCCCACACTAGGTACGATAGCGTTAACATTTTATTACCCTTGTTTGACATAAAATTGAGGTTGGAGTAAAGAACAAATGACCTCAGTTCAATTGGAACAAAAGGTTTCACAAACATGATGATACCAAAATAATTCTTAAAATGTTTGGGGTACACAAGATACCACATCTCCACTGTACATAAAAGTAATGCCTTAAGTCATTGGACAAATGTAGTTTATATAATTACTTCTAATATATTTAGACTTTGAAAGACATTTTGTTACTTTATAGAATAGTACCCAATGTATATGCTATTGTAGACTTTTAAAAATAAATGTTAAGCATCTGGCAATCAGCTATACAAAATGTTTGACGGATTCTAACATGCTTAGTGGAAGCATCATGCAGAATGGGAAACATGTGTCGTAATTTGTAAAACTGTTTTCTACGCATCCATGTCACTATATTGTTTTCATAATAGTGACACAGGCAGTTTATGTGGAGTGTTGCTTTCAACAACTAATAAATATAACTTACTTCATCATGCATTTCACTACATTTGCACAAAGGAATTCAAAGGGAAGAATAAATGGAGAATGATGGTGTTAAATTGAATAACTACCCACTAGGAAGACGTATGGAAACATAAATAAGTATGTAGAACTGACCGGTCTCTCTACAACCGACAAGCACGCACACACGCACGCACGCACGCGCGCATGCACGTCGCAAAATAAACGCAATTATCTTGGAGGCGACGTTAAATCAAAAGTCCACACAACGCCTACTCCTTTCGTGTTATACATCAGTGTGATGTTACATCAGGAATTGAGAGAAGAAATATAGTATGCTGTAAGGACTGGGCACAGAAACAAAATATATAAAGGATGCAAAGAAATGTAATACTTTTGCAATTGAATATTATCACCATGTCATATTAAGCTGTAAACGTAGATGTTCAGGGGAGGTGTATTCCTTTCGACTCTAATTGGTGACGTTGATGTTGAAACGTCTGTCTGAAATGGCGATAATGGTGATAACGATGGTGCAGATAACAATGATATTTATGAAATAACGTGACATTTTTCTGGTACAGAATTCTCTAAGTGTTCAAATAACATAAAGCATATCTTGAACAACTTGTGACAATAATACTATAAATATGAGTAAATATACTCATAAACAAAAGAAACGAAATACGGAATATTTTTGGCCTTAAAAGCACCCTAGGGGGACCAAGAGGTGCAAAATGAAGAGGTTTAATGTGTTATATTGTCAGTGACAAATTTCCCAGATCAAAATAATCTCAACAAAGACATGCAAAGAATTAGTCGGGAAACACGTACGATTCGGAAAAAAAGCCACTGACCAGATACATTGACCAGATGCAGGGAGTTGTGAAACAAAGGATTTTAGCTGACGACCCTGGGTATATACACGATCAGACTAAAGGTCTGGGAGGAGAGAGGTTAGACCTGGCCTGCGACTGTAACACTTCCGTCGTTGTCTAAATGTCTAAATGAACAGGCAATCTTACGGCTCAACGATACACCAACGAAATTCTCCTGGAACACGCCCTCCTATCTGCAACCAACGGCAACGGTGTATTCCATAAGGGCAACGCTCGACCGCATACAGCACGGATCACAAGAGCCTGTCTACACAACAACAACGTTCATGATCTGACCCCGAGATCCCCGGATCCGAGCCCGATAGAGCACCTGTGGGATGAATGGGATAGACGGCCACGCCGACGTCAACCACACCCCCTAGACGTTGCAGCGGTTGGTTGTATCGTTGCAGGCCGAGTGGGCGACGATTCCTCTTTATGTGATTCGCATCCTCGTCTCTTCCATGGGCAGGAGATGTCAAACTGCTTTCGAAACCAACGGGGTACATAAGCGTTATTGATGCGAGCTGACCTTCACTTTGGACTTTTTCCTATGTATGGATAATTGAGATGACTACAATAACCAAGTGTTCTCTCCACAACATTTTGGCTCAACATGTTGTACGGCTCCTCGTACAAATCTATTTTCCTACCTCACAAATCTGGCATGGCGTTTCTTTTGTTCTTCTTTTGAAGAGTATATTACGTTGCTCTTAAATTTCAATTGAAACAAATTACAAGGAGACAAACAAAGTTATTCACAATGTTATATCAACACATCAGGACGTGCGGATCGGTTGGTGTAAAACGGTCCACTCTACTTCAGAACAAAATAACATTAACAAGCCACCATGCTTTAATCTGGTCACCTTGTTGGTTGATGACATTTCATGCTGTGGATCAGTCGCGTTGTGGCGTCTTCCGAGGGATTGTGGTACCATCCCAAAATGTTATCCTCTCCAAAGGTGTATATAGATCTATCTCTCTCTCTCTCTCTCTCTCTCTCTCTCTCTCTCTCTCTCTATATATATATATATATATATATATATATATATATATATATTTGTAATCTCATCGGAAAAGGCAGTGGAAACATGGTGTCTTTATGATGTCCAGACCCACTAATCAGTCCCCGCAGTTCTGTCATAGAGATGGCAATAATCAGCCACCATACTTTACACCTGAGCAGGAAGCCCATCGAATGCCATGGCAACTCTCACATTTCACATCCCTGTGTGTTATCAGATCGTATCCAGGCCACCACGTGCCCCTTTGCTGAACTGAATGCTCTACACATTGACATGTCTGTGCATATGGCAATGCTAATATAGAACGCGAATAATCCGAGTTCCGTGTCACCGACATTTGCCTACAATATACACATACAGCGGAAGCTCTCTTGTTCAGACCACTTACAGGAGCAACAAAGGTTCACTATCACAGTCGACATGATGTTAAATTTTAAACGATTGAATAGATAAGGGGCCCAATATTAGTTACAATATTCTGTCTCCTCTGATCGCCACTCGTTCACACTATGTATACATTAACCGATGGTTTGAAACTATTTAGAACCTTTACTACATGAACTTAGCAGTTCAATGATGAACATAATGTAAGTGATAAAACATGAGATCACTAAAGGTTGTCGGTGGCTTTGACATTATTTAATGCGTTCTCTCGAAAAACACCTTTTCTTATAAGGGTCGGGGTTATATGTCATTCCTGGAAACCCTAATACCAACAGGAATGGGATGATCACACTGACATTTTGAATCCTTTTGTCTTTGTGCGGTACTTTACAATTTTATTTGGGGTTGTAAACGAATATTTAGCATGGCGTTTCTAAATTAATTCATATATTAAAGGATGTCCGCTGGAGTGGGATTTGTGTACCTACAGACATGCAGAAAGAAAGATGACATAGTTTAAGTCAATCTATCATCACAATCAAGCTATGGCGCAAACAATAATGTACTAAAACCAAATAAACTGTTTTACATGAAACAAAACGTGAACTTATTCCCTCCACGGGTGCTACCGATGTGGCAGGATACGCTTACATGTACCTGGTACGAGCACCTGGTATCATCCCTATTTCAATGTTATTATTATTGTCTTTTATAAGTGTATGAACGACACAATTTGACGTTAATACGTTTTTCACGTAAACACTGACGGACTACTTCCACATTCTTTGCGAAATCCCTGGTAATACATACATAATCGGGGTGTTCGGGTAGCCTAGTCGTTAAAGCGTTCGCTCGTCACGCCGAAGACCCGGGTTCCATTCCCGACATGGGTACAATGTGTGAAGCCCATTTCTGGTGTCCCCCGCCATGATATTGCTGGAATATTGCTAAAAGCTGCGTAAAATCAAACTCACTAGCTCGTCGTACAAGAAGGTAAAAACACTGATGATATCCGTCAGTCAGTTGCCTGCTGGCCTTAACACTATAATTTTAATTTCTACTCCATTCAAATTTGTAACAATTAAATGTCATGATGTGTGTCACTCACTCACATACAGAAGCCTTCTTTCGGAAGAATTAGACACTTTAATCTTTAACGCAGCGTTCCAGTAACATTGAGAAACGTCAGAGAGTTTGACTGCATGATTGTTCACGAATATCCTCGCTACGACCCATCCGAATGAACAAAACGAAGATATGCTTTCCAAACTACCAAAGTATCGACTCTAGGCTGACACACACACGCGCGCGCGCACACTCACAAGCCCGAATGCACGTCGCTAAATAAGGGCAATACTATTTCGACGTTAAACTCCAGTTCACATCACCTCACCGCCTCCATTCAGGTGAATTATTTATCATAACATTGCAGTACTGGCATCTGGTTAAGTGATAACAATACCCGACTTTATACGACTGTATGGCAGAAACTAGAAACTAAAACTGGCTGATCAGGTTTCCTCATTTATGTTCAACAACAAATGCTTCTTTGCACCAAATAACAGAAAGAGGTTAAAGTCCCAGAAATCTTACACTGATAACAATATTTCAACTGCAATGTTTCCATTAAGTTAATGCGATCGTATTTATTTCCTGTGTGAAATATTCAGTGACAAAGGCGATACATAAATAGACATGAGCATAACCAACATGGTGTGACTAAGCTCCTTTCACCTATTTGACATGGTCAATGTTTGGATTATGTAACTGTGCTTTTATCAAAGAAACATAAAACAATGTAAGGAAAACGTGAAGTAAGTAATAACGATGTTTTGTTGTTGGATCGTTGTTGAACGCTGCAATCATCAATATTCCAGTTATATGACGACGGCCTGTAAATAATCGAGACTGGGCCGGACAATCCAGTGATGATATCATGAGCAATGATCCAACCAACTCAGCGAGCCTGACCACCCGATCCCGTTATCCGCTTCTTAGGACAAGCATAGTCGCCTTTTACGGCAGGCATGGGTTGCTGAGGACCTATTTTAATACGGTTTTCACGGGTCTAACGATGTTTTGACTCAAAGGAAAGGAATCTCATATATTGCACGTGTTCCGTGGTCTGCTACTGGATCTGAAAAGTATAGAGCTATATGTTATTAAACATAGAAAATGACAGATTATATATCTACTCACAATAACATGAAATTCTACACGTATTACATTGGGATAGAAAAGAAGGCATATGTAACTGTTTAATGATGTTGGATCGTACATGCCAACAGTTGATCCATGGCAATGGCATAAGAGTTTAATCAGCAAGAGTGTTTCATGTGTTGGTTACCTTGAGAATGTGCCTCAGTGTTCTGGTATGGTGATACTCTGACCGACTCATAGGTGACAGGGGGAGTATCTACTGTGCCCTCATAGGTACTTGTATCTGCTGCAGCATCCGCTGAAGATGTAATTCATTACGTATTTCAATAATAATCCCAAATCATAACTCCCTACTTCTAACTAGCACTTCAACAAATTGGGCAAAATGGAAAAAATCGTCATCTACCTTTTGTATTCTCATAAATCTTCAACTGTGAATACTGTTGTTTTTCTGATTCCTCCAAATTTGAATACTGGACTGGGCCATTTATCTGATCTGAAACAAGACAATGCGAAAACGTAGTAATGATTTCAGTGTTAAATGGACGCATACAGAATGGTAATTTCAGCAAAAGGGTAACAACCAGTAACCAGTACCTACCTAATGATGAATACCCTCTGTTATCCATTTCTACAGTTTCGGAATTCCTGGTGCTAGGAAGACAACAAAGTACGTTACTGAAAATTCATAATGGAATGGAGCATTAAACCTCAGTTTTTAGCCAGAATTTATATGTCTCCATATCTTTTTTCCATATTTGCAAATGTTTACTCATTGTTATGTTTAACGTTTGCATTTATACTACCTTTTTCGTGATGCAGTTTCTGTAAAACAAGAAAAACCACATGGAATATAATGTAAAACACACATCACCCATGGCAACATGTATTGTCAATAGTAAATGAAATCCACATAGAAAATGATAAAGTAAACTTTATATAATAACTGCAACCTTTAACAAGGCATTTGCTGGTAAAACTACGTCATTTTCTGTCAATATTCTACATATACATTCAACAAAAGAAATTCTTACAATCTTTCTTTCAAACATATTCGCATATGTCATTGACCATTATATTGACATTCTCCCTATTACCTGCAAATAATATTCAATCATTTTACTACGGAAATTGAACTGTATACCTTCTGGAATATGTCCGAACTTGTATCCCTTTCTGTACAGAACCATGTGAACACTTCCCACAATGAGCAACGTAAGAAGAATGCCTCCTACTGTGGATCCTACTATTACCCCTGAATACAAACAAGGAGTTTCAAGTTTTCGCTGGTCTGGTGGATCTACAATATGAACAAAATATCATAACAGACAATGCCTGTCACTATATTCAGATGAAAATATATTTGTTTTCAATTTCCTACTTTCAAACAAATTATTTGGTCATAGGTTTAAGTGGTAGGTAATCAGACATTAGGTTCGATTCCCAATATGCGTACAACGTGTGAAGCTAATTTCTTGTGTTGGTCATGCTGATATATATATTGCTCAAACCAAGATACACATGTTTACTTTGAATTCAAGAAATCCCTGGAAACCTAAATAAATATAGAAAATTATCCATCAGAGCATTCATTAATGGTGCATACAGATAAGTACCATTGGGCTATTTTGTTATGTCCAGAAAGGAAACGGGACAACATCTATTTTAAATGATATTATTTAGAAACTCAACAGAAGTTAAAATGAGACAATAGTATTTAAGAAAGATATGAATGGGCAAATCCTTCGTTGTTATCTGTAGTGGGCGTAACAACAAAACATTAATCAGACGATTGTAATCATAGTTTCATTTGAGAATGCTGACAAGTTAAGTTCATAATTTGTGAAGCTAAATAAACGTAAAATGAGCAAACAACAAGTAGAGATATTTACATAAACTTTTGAATAGAAAAATCCTGAAGGCTTGACTGATAATCAGAAATCAGCATCTCACCTACAGCCACTATTGTGAGAGTGTATGTCACTGAACTGCCGACACCATTGCCCACTGTAAGACTGTAGTCCCCGACGTCCTGTTGTTGGAGGTCAGTAAGGTGTAGTCTGGCAGTGACTGAGATGTCGGAGACAGGGCTGGAGGAACCAATGAGGTCCTGGCTGGTGCAGTTGGTTCTACTCCAGGTGAATGTGGGGAAGGGGTAGGCCAGGACTGACACAGACACGTTCACGTTACCCCCCAGTGTAGCGGCGTACTTGAGTTGAGTTGGGACTGTCACAGCAAGTCGAGGAGAACCTAATGCAAAACATGTCAATGAGTCAAAGCAAGGTAAACACTGGCTTGATTTGGTGGAGAAAGACACCCCATTGCTATACACATGGTAACTGCAATCTAGTTACGAAAACATACTCTCAATCAACGAGTCAATCGAGTCAATCAATCAGTTAGTAAGGTAGGACTTGTTACTGTTACATCTTAAAAAAATATTATTACAACTCCTTCTCCTTCTACTACTATTACTACTACTACTACTTTACTACAACTACTACAACTACTACTACAACTACTACTACTACTACTACTACTACTACTACTACTACTGCTGCTGCTTCTACTTCTACTCCTCCTCCTACTCCTACTTCTACTACTGCTTCTTCTACTACTACTACTACTACTTCTATTACTACTACTACTAGCGTGTGGAGAGATGCCCAGACCACATTACCTACATTTGACTCGCAACTCCACCCACTGGCTGACAGGTGTCCCGATGTTGTTACTGACAGTACAGGAGTAGTTCCCTCTTTGTCTACATTCTGCTGACTCCAGTCTGTATTCTGCTGTCAGGGAGTTATCCGCCTTTGTCAACTCCTCCGTTCCATTCAGTAACCTGATGACTGACCTTGGTTTACCAGCATTATCCAACTGACACCTCAAGATCACCACATCAGACTCATTAACTGTTACTGAACCATTACGACTGTTGGCGGTCAACATACTTATACTCGCCCGATCTGAAACAAATAACCCAAAATGTTGCATTGCAAGTTGTGTGTACTCAGATTAAAAAAATGTTAGGCGAATATAATTAGGAACAAAGATTGTTGTAAGTATGCATTTCTATTATTTGTATTATATTTCATCATTCAGTTCTGTTCCAAAGTTTCCCCTATATGCGTATATGAAACCTATATCTCTCAATAGAACTGAAACGATACATCAAAGTCAACAGAGATGATACAACAACGGGACTTTTTGCATCAGGGTTCCTCCTTTCAGTGTAAATGGGATATGGTAGTTGTATTGGACAATGCATGGGTCATCTCAATCGACGTGTGACATCGTTATTTTACGTCACCCCACACCATTGTCTGAAGATCACATACAGTAACTGGATGCAGAGCATTCGCCAATGTAACTCAGGCAAATTAAAAACATACATTTCTCAATGTAATTTATCTTCATGTTTATGACAGTCCTCATAAGGCATTTTGTGAAAACGTTCATATGAACATATGCCTAATGATGTGCGGCCATCCAGCTTTAACCAATAAGGTAAAGGAACGTATCAGAGAAGGTGTCGGTTTCTGCTTGACAAAACTCACGTGTAATATCCACGGAGACACTTGAGCTGTCATTAGTCCCGTGTGTATTGGAAGCCTGGCACTTGTAGGATCCTGTCTGTGACCTGTCAGCCACCGGGAGAGTCAGTGTAGCTCCATCACTGTGGACTGTTCCGCCCTTGAACCACTTGTATGATGTACACGCAGGTCTGCAGGTGGCTGAACACAGGATACTTGGTACACTCTCTTGACCTTCCCTCCTGGTGTAGGACAGAGTGGAGGGTTGTAGGGTCACAGCATAGGGGCCATCTGTCAGAATAGTGAAACAGAGTAAACCAATGTATGTACACACAGGTGGCTGAACAGAGGATACTTGGTACACTCTCTTGACCTTCCCTCCTGGTGTAGGACAGAGTGGAGGGTTGTAGGGTCACAGCATAGGGGCCATCTGTCAGAATAGTGAAACAGAGTAAACCAATGTATGTACACACAGGTGGAGGAACACAGGTAACCCTCCAGATATTTCCACCTGGAGTGGGGGGTTGTTGGGTCATGAGGCCATCTTTCGAGTTCTAATATACATATTGACCGGAACTAAATACATAGAGAGTTTTATAATCAACAGCGGTATATACTGCTACGACGGCAGTCTGAGTAGTTTAGAAGACGTCGGAACTAGTTTTCGTGAAGTTTTCGTTGTAGCACCGACGCTGCCGTACGAGCTGATACAGTTCGGAGATGTAGCATTCCGCTTATATACCAAAGAGGCGACAACTGAATAGGCAACCCCTGCTCGCGTCGTCTCTCACCCCAAGCGGCTTAACCACAGCTACCGAATGTGTTCTCGAGTCAAGCCAAATTTAAACTGACATCACAGATTAGAATATTAATAAACCGAAGTAATATGACTTTTATGATAATATGCAACGTTTGTACTTTGTAAGAAAAAATGCCAACATTACTCGTTTCGCCTCTTATCTCTACTAACTATCATGTTTATCACTATTCAGTGTTGCTTTGAAAGGAAGTTATGGCAGAAATATATTTAGAATATCACTGTGTCACGTGTTCATGTAGTGCCACGCTATGGGTGAATATAACTAACTGACCACTGACCATGGTCAAGTAGTTGGCAACATTCATGGGCGTATTTCTACACTGAGGTCCGGACATATATGACCAAGGTTGGCCAGGGTTTAACTCGCGACGTACAAGGAAGTGTGCAGGCCAAGGTAGGCCGGGTAGATACCGGCGGAGGTGTGAGTAGAATTTGGTTTATTCTCTAATTTAGAATGGCTGTCCGCACATCTGACCCCTGTTCTAGAAATTTCACTTGCTAACAAATACAACAATAAAAGTCTTCGTCACCAAATGTGAAATCATTCTCTGCAACATTTTGTTCCACATAGCGCTTGTGCGTAGTGTCACGCATGGAATCCAGTTCAATGAAACATGGACGATATTGTATGGAATCAAATGTCATTGACTGGTCAGATCGCTGGTACAAGAAGCTACAACTATACCAGCTCGGTACAATCTGAGTAGTAGCATTGTGACTGTCACTACATGTTCGACTGCACAGGATCGTGCTTTGCATGGGATTGTTTTACAATTTGTGAGTGCTACTGAGGAAGGGGTGTCTACCTTATGAAATATATTTGGCAACAACATTACTGAATATCGGAATATTGAATGGCATTGTATACATACACTGTGGCTCCATGTTGTACAGCTGGCTCCACTCTGACTCCAGACCCTGGTCTTCTGTTGCCTTACATCTGTAGCTGTGACTGTCCCGGGAACTCACTGTGAAGGTGTAGGGGGAACCAGGGGAGGTAACTGTGATGTCAGTGTTGTCACGCTGCCAGGTGTAGGTCAAGGTCAGGCCATGGTCAGCTGGGACAGGGGTAGAGGTGGAGCTGCAGGTCAAGGTGAACCGTCTTCCAAACACAGGGGCTGATGGTCCAGTGAGTGTTGGTTTGGTGGGTTGACCTGTATTATTAAAATCCATCAATTTACATGTACGTTCATAAAAACAAAACTGTCTTTTTTGTTTCTGCATTGGGATATTACCTTATTTATATCATGATTCATGGATTAATGCGGAAACTCATTGAGGAAAATGTATGACCAATATTCACTCATAGAGACCGTGTGTCAAGATGTGATGTCCAAATTGAACGCCACTCATATCTTAGCTGATATATACAGTGTACACATGTGTGTATAGGCAGCAGTATCAATAGCAGTTACAAATACGAGAAGGTGAACGAAGGAGTTACAGTCCACTGATAACCCTATCACAGTACAACCCACCCTACACATGTCATGACTGCCTGAATAAGAGAAGACATACACACTGTGCCAGATTGTTTAATAGTTGCTGTAATTGATGCAAACTCAATGTCAATGCTCATGAATCCAAAGTGTTCGTTCCGGAGGGCAACAAAATGGTCTGTTTTCACTGTCTTAAATATGTTTATACCTATAACTATCTTGTCGTAGCAATCAAAATCATTACTATTGGTTCATTACTAATATGCATTGCTAATTTTAAGTCAAGTTAGTCGCCATAACTTATCACTTGAACGTGTTTGTTATATTTTATGCTTCTTTTAATAATTGGTTAAATATATACAGTGTCTAGGGAGAACACATTAAATATTTCTCATATATATGCCAAATTATGCGAATCCAATATTATATCCCTAAAAGCAAGACTGGACCGGGAAAGTGTTCAAATATTGACTGCATACAAACTTTCTACATTAATGACAACCTTAGAACTTATCGACATAAAAAAAAATAGAAGTTTGAAGTGATTCCGTTTTGTGTTTATGTTTCCATAAACTGAGAAAACATTAGGCAAATTCTGCTGACGATTAACTGTTTCCTGACGGTTTGATAGTAGAATGGCCGAATCTTGTGTTGCTTTTTTGGCTGAACGATGTGGCTGATGTGGTATTGGTGTCTACAGTTGTTTGAGTGAAGGATTAAATAAGCAGTTTGTGTAATTAGTATTGTTAACTTTCTATAATAATTGACTTAAATATGTTTTAGTAAAAATATTTAAGTCAGTTCAAAAGTAACATTATTTCTAAAAGCTCTCAGTAAGTCACAACTGACAACCAGTAATTGGTGATGTGATGAAGGAAATTACACAGCGTTGTCATTTGTAAATGTATCAGCAACAAATATCTAGCCAGAACATTATGTTTCTCTGAGAATATGGAAACGACGTGCATTATTGTTGACATTTAGAAACATATCACTCTCGCTCTGTTGCTTGTTTTGTAAATATGTTCATTAATAGTGAGAACTGATCCTACGTTGTCTGAAAATGGATTTGACTTGGGTTTTTTTAGCCAACGGCTCCGATGTCAAGCTGACACTTTGAACACAGCCATAGATATCAAAACACAGTAATCAGTTGCCTGGGCACGTAATTTGAAGCTTAATTTGAATACTAAGTAAGTATAAGTAAATCAAAATCCAATTTCGGGAAACCACGTGACACCAGTTACGTTGTAAAGTGGACTTACCAGGAACAACCAGCTTCTGTCCACACTGTGGTATGATGTCAGATGGTCCATTCCTCCCACAGACGTAGTCCCCAGCATCAGATCTGACAACACTGCGGAGGTCAAAGGCCATGATCCCGGGGTTAGCAGCTAGATTCCCGGAGTAGGTCACACGAGCTGTGTACTCAGGTGCTGTCCGGTGGTTATTTGTATCTGTATAGACCAGCAGTACTGTAGTTCCAGATGGACTGATGACATATAGGGAAGTAAGAGTGGAACCGTCTGACACAGCTGGAACTTGCCACCTGAAACTGGCAGTCTGAGACTCCCTCACTACCACAGGGCTGGAGGACAGCTGGGACGCTACACCTGTTGGGAATACAATTGAATATCAACACATGGAATATGAGGATGCCTCAAAGTACCTACGTCCCTTTGATTTCTCCTAGTTGACACGCACTGATAACAGTTTTTTAAACCAATGCACACATGCATTCATTATCCCTGTTAACGTTGTATGGCTGTGTTAGTTTTGTGTGGATTAATAAGAAATTAACTCACCATTGAATGCTATTCCCAAAACGTAAATTGTCCTGACTGCCTTGTACAATTCAATGATTCTGCCAGTCGTTGTCGACATATTTCTGAAATAGTAGGAATTGCCTTTGTCAATAACTGATCAGGAGGATTAATGTATTTGTATTTCATTGTGATCAAACTGTTGCTCTGATACAACCCTGTAATTCCTTGTCTTTAACATGTCCTTACCCATCTGACTGAATATAGCTCACAAATACGTCCTGCAATGCAAAAGGATTGACCTATTGAATTGCATAGATATAAAGCATAGAATATTTCCAAAAACATTATTTTATTTCACTTTTGAACCCTGAATTTAAGCAGCGATTTATTCTCTTAGGGGTCTTCCACGTAATCCTCAAATTGTAATCTCAAACATATAAACTATTCTTCTGTTGGTCACCAGGTTACTATTTGTTCTCACCTATGCAAACAACAGCCACCCCAACAAAAGTGTTCACAGAGCAACATGTATGAATATGTCTTCACATCTTACTTACAAAACGCAAAGTTATGTCGTCACATCGTTTTCAAAAGAATTGTGAAACTATTTTACTAGATCGGAGTGAGTGAATGAGTATGGTTTTACGCGCTTTTAGCAATATTTCAGCAATATCACGGCGAGGCATGGGCATGGGCTTCACACATTATACCCATATCAGGATCGAACCCGGGCGAGACGAGCGAACGCTTTAACCACTAGGGTTCCTGACCGTCCCTATTAGATCGGAAAGAACATATACCATAGTGGTGTATTTATTACGCTTACACTGCTGTGATCTTTGTTCTTGCCGCCAAACTCATATGATATATTAATCTACATGCCACATGCTCCGGGGTAGAATAGGTCTTCAGCAACCCATGCTTGCCGTAAAAGACGACTATGCCTGTCGTAAAAGGCGACGAACGGGATCGGGTGGTCAGGCTCGCTGACTTGGTTGATGCATGTCATCGATTCCAATTGCTTGGATCGATGCTCACGCTGTCAATCACTAGATTGTCTTGTCCAGACTCGAGTATTTACAGACCGCCGGCATATAGCTGGAATATTGCTGAGTGTGGCGTTAAACAACAAACACAATAACAAAACAAATGTACCACATGCAGACATTGACGAGGTATGCGCAATTTATACACCACAGCTGGGCTTTGTTTTTTAGATGTCTGAATTTTTCCGACGGACGGACAATCTGACACTCATAAAATTCACTTGGACAAAAAAGATCCATTGAGATCATATTCAAATGAGTCCAGCGTGAGCTTCCATCGTCATCAGCCTTCAAAGCGTTTCAATTCATTCAGTACATTCACAGTCCATGTAGCCTAATTAGGCCTAAGGCTTTAAAAA